TTTAGACTATTGAGGTTTGAGGTTTGGTGCAAAGATTAAGTTGTATTTGCTATTTTTTTGTCTTTTTTTGTCAAATCTTCATGCTAACGGAGAAGCGGACAGAGTATATATAGGAGTCCGAAGTGATTGTAAAAGGAATGAATAATTTTCTAACAATTGCTCCGTTGAAGTAATTCATACATTACTAAATTACTAGACCACAAAAGTAAATAATTACGCTAGTAATGGCTGCGAAATCTGACTTAATTACTGCGAAGTGTGGTTTATAAATCTTTTCTCCAGTACGTACATGTTTCTTTGAATATATCTCAGACTTTTTCCTTGCTGGTGAAGTTAAAAGACTTCTTCAATTACATTGCTTCTATTATCGCCTTAGCCTGTGCCCGCTCTAATGAAATTTGTGCCGCACTCCTCTAAACATGTTCCGTCTATCATGATGATGACACATGTCATCGTTTTCATTTTATTTCATTTCTCGCGAGCGCGCGTCTGGTACCTACGAATGTTGCATAAGTGGTGGTTAGTATATTCGCTCTATAGAAGCTAATCTCCGGCCGCCACATACATTGGTACGTCATGATTATCTCAGTCGGTGCTCTCACGTAGCAAAGTTGCGTGAGCTGGGACTATTGGCGGCGCACCTAGCGACTCGTGGAGCTGTGCTGTTCGCGTTTACTGAGCCAGCGGTCGGTTCACAATATTGATCAGCAACCTAGGAACGGGTCAGTTTCTCACATCTGGAAGTGTGAGAAGAATCGCTATCGATGCACACCTCCTGGTGCCTTTACTGCACGCTCTTCGAGACCCCTGCACGCAGCTATAGCTGCACAGCAAGCTCTTCGCGTGGACGGTAGCAGTTAAGCGGTGATGCGCGATAACGGAGAGCTATATATATTGAGAATGGCGAGGTCGCCGCTGGTACCATCATTACCGTCGATCAGGGGCCCAAGGGGGCGACGGGAAAAGGTGAGAGACGGAAACGACCTTAAGCGCGAGTCTCAGAGAGGGAGAGAGAGATAGTCGATGGCAAATTGGACCGCGGTTCACATTTGACATTTCACGTGAGTGGGTATCATTCGCTCGCGAGCCCTATACACGACGTGTACGTACTTACATACCTCGACCCTACTCGGCCCAAACGATCAACCGGAAACTGTGTAAGGACCGCCCCTGGTGCGCGTTCTCCGCCTTTGGCGATCCGATAAGCAGGCGGAACAACAACAACGAGGTCGTTTGTCCCGTTCGCGTTTCTCGTTTCCTATCGGGAAGTAAAAGTGCGTCGGGGCTACTACTACTACTACTACTACTACTACTACTACTACTACTACTACTACTACTACTACTAGTACTACTACTACTAGTACTACTCTTGCCATGCCAAATAAATGTCTTGTTATTCCCGCGATCGAACAAGGCAGGCCGCGCTCTTTTTTTTTTTCCCTCCTCCTGTTTCTCAAGGCACTTTTTGGTCAGGCGAGGCTGTTTGGTGGCCCGTCTGTTTACCTATGCACGTGCCTCGGGCGTTCCTTGCCCGGCTCGGCCTTGCAACTCGACGCGATTCTGCGCAGGCACACACGTGCTCTGCTGTCTGTTTTGTTGGTTTCTTTTCTCCGTATGAACGGAGGAGGTAGGGACTAAAGGCGGGAGGGTAAGGGGGGGGGGGTGATAGAGCAGCAGCCTTGACGGCAGGTAAACAAACGCCGACGAGCGAACGCGGAAGCCCCCCACCCCCCGCCCCCCACTTCTCGTACTATAGCAGCTAGCTGATGTTGGGCGAAGAGGAAATGGGAAGCGTGTCGGAGTGTGCTGGATTGTCCGGCAGGGTCTTTGTGTGTGTTACGTGCGAAAGGGGAATGCGAATGATGTAATTGCCAGCCATGTTGTAATTTGCACTAAGTGTTTGTTGTTGTTACTGTTGTTTTTATGTTCTCATACTTCACACAAAAACAATGGCCACTTGGTTACAACCTCGAGGTCACTGTTGTATACGAGTGTACAGACAAACATGCAATTACATTTAATGGTACATTGCACAACTTGAATTGCAACTAAGTGGCCTCTGTGGGACGCTTGCCCTCGAAGTGCCATGAGAGAATGTAATACAACAGGAGTGGTGGATGGTACTATACCGACCTGTGGCCTCACTGTGGGTTCATCGGGTCATTGTGGCATCACCTGTGACTCGCTTGAATGTTGAACGAAAGCAGAAGTACGCTTTTCCTGCATGGAACAAAACTTAACTAGAAATGCCATGGAATCTATGACATCTGAATATCAGAATTAGATTGACAGATTGGGCAGTGTGATCTTGTTATTTCACTGTTGCGTTAAGGATACCCCTGGGAGCTATGTCAAGCTCTAAACTCCTTGTGTCAGCCAGTCCTCCAGCATTCACCACAGTATTAGTACTGGCTAAATATGACTGGGGTGTAAATTATGCTTTGATTAAAATTATGGATAAAGATTATTGCTGTGTAATTATTATTTGGTGAATTGTCAGCAAGCCCACACTATTACTTGTTAGCTGCCCTGTCATGCTGACGTCCACTACCTCTAGCATAGAACTGTATGAACACACTTTATTTTTCATTTATCACACAGTGCCATGTGAACTCTGTGTGTGTGGTCCTGGAAAAAAAAAAGAAAAAGAAGCTTTTATGCATTTACCTAAGATGACTAGAAAGCGAAAGCCATCTCCTTTTTCTTCTCAGTCGACGTATTGATTCTCAACTGCGCCCTTCTGAAAGCTTTCTGCATCTAACGTGGCTTTGCACTGCCTCTGTTATCGGCCCACCTTTGACCAAGTCCAAGTGTGACGACGTCATCACTTGACATTGCCCTGATGACACCTCAAATTTTGACCATCTGTGAGATCACTACGGGAGCACCGCTATGTGATGATGATTTATTTCACCACTAATGTTACTGTCGTCAACACGTGATGCCAGTACCGATGATCAATTTTCATATGTCATGGGGCATGTAAGACTTTCACCACGCACTCTCTCACATGGTTCCCTTCTCACAAGGGAGGCCCCACAAAACTGAATGAGCTGGCCCACTCCTAGGCGCGAGGTCTCGCTTACGCGACCATGGAGAACTACCCTGCCAATCTGCAGCTGTGGAGAACAGAGATCATCCGATCACTTATAACGGAATCACACAGCACTTTTATTTTGGCAGGAGAGACTTTGTCCTTCCTATCAAAAAGATAAATTGAGGGCAGACATTGACTGTCAGACTACTTCACACAGGTTCATATCCCAGCCCGGCTTTATTGCATAAAATTTATCCCGACATTTATTTCGGTGGCTCCTGCAGGCACTGTCAGGAATTTGCTAGCCTAGACCACATGCTCCAGTTTTGCCTTTCGTTACTGGGCAGGAGCCGATCCAATTAAGACAAGTGGCTATCTGCTATCAAGGGACCCAATGTGTGGGATCAACTGTGGGTTGTCCCAGAGGGCCCACGATGCGGCAGTCAGGCTTGGGCCGACAGTCCCAACATGGGAGCGGCCCGCTGCGCATTGAGTCATGCACCTCAGGACTTACAATAAAGTTTTGCTGTTCATCCATTCATAAAGCAGTCTTCAGTACTTCCTGTGTAAACAGTACATAATGTCTTGCACATAAAAAAGAAATTCTCAGTCAGCTCTAGCTTTCTCTAAGAGTATGGTGCTTTACTAGGAAGTCTTCATTATTTGTTTTTGCCTTGCTAAACAAATGCACAGAGGGATTCAAGAATGGTAGTAGCTAAATCAGTGTTTTACATCTTGACTGTTTATGTTGGCACTTGAGGACGCAGAACCAATAATAGACCCAGGAAAGTCTCGCGACACTACATAGTCTTATGGCCAGAATTTTATAACATTATTAGAAACACTTGAGTATCCATCAAAGGTGTAGATAGTATCATATAATAACTTCCAGAATAGCTTTCATAACATACTTGTTCTCATATGGCAAAATTTGTGAACCTTTGCTGGAAACTTAAAAATGCGAAATGATGTCTCTATATTTGCATGTTTTCTCAGTGCGAATTGATTTAACCTAGATGAAAAACTAGCAGCCTTCCCTTTATGGCGGTTCTAGAATAGTAGCTGTTGCAGGCACGACTCGAAGTTCTGTACTCAAATGAATCTAAAGATCCAAGTTTCTTGGAAGTAATGAGCCTCTTAGCAAAATCTGTTTATGTGCCATGTTTTGTGCCTACATATAAATTTGTTATTCCTGCAATACTACACACATCTTTTTTTTTTAATGTACTGTTCAGATTTATGTGCTCGGTATGTTGTACTGTGTGTTTCACACAGTACAACACACACACAGTACAAACACACATCATGTGTGTTTCACAAATGCATAAATGGCAGTAGATAGCAATACACAAGAAGCAGTTATTCAGGCAGAGCTCTGTAGTTCTGTGGTGAAGAAACATTTCATTTTGAAAGTGAAGGTCACATTAAATATAAGATTTATGCCTTCTTTGCCTTTCAGTGCAGAATCATATTGCAAGATGTATTTAGACATGCATATCTTTTGTAGTGGACCTCAGTGTGTATTAGTGTAGACACTGAGCAGAAGGACTCCAAAGAAACGAATTTGTACCTTTGTTTTCAGTACTGAAACTTATACTTGAAAAGGTTATGTTAACCCAGGTTCTAGGTTTTATCAGGGAATAAAAAATCATTCAATTTTTGTAGTACCTTAATACATACCCTCTCTCAGCCAAGGGAGAGGGCAAGTATATAGTTGTTCAGGTGTTACATAATTGATCATGTCTGTTGGCATAAAAATAAAGTGCTGAAGGTAAAGCTTACAGTGCTTTTAATATTGCTCAGCTTTTCAGTTAATTTTCTGCAACCACTTCTAGCGTAAGTGCACATTAATTAAATCAGTATAGTGCCTTGTACAGGGTGTTGAATTCTGGTTATGGAGGCGTATTCAGTGAAATTGCTCTATCTGACGCCAATGGTAACGCTCTATCATTTTGTGTTACAGGCATAACAACGTTGATGAAGCGGAGCCCCAGCCAGCTAGCCTCCTCATATCCTGTCGGTCGTTACTCTAGGAATCCAAATCGCACGAGTAAGTTCTTCAGCATGTTTGATCGTTCTTTTTTTTTTGGCTCTGCGGGACTTTGGTGTTGATCCACTGTCTCTAAACTTCAGTGTGTGATTGAGAATACTGTGTGTGATCAGCACCACATATGTAAATAGCTGTTGAATGAAGACACCACGCAGGAGACAGTCTTAACTTGCTTTTTCTATGGGCAAAATATTTTTGCAGATGTAGATATCCTTAAGACTTCAACATGCTGGCTGACTATTTCTTATTGTAGTATTACAAAGGATTCCATTTTCTGTTTTTAGCTTAAATAGTCAACATATGGCAAGTCGATACTCTATCTCAAATTCGTTTCAATATCTGCACGTTCAAATGTTTCTATTTTCTACACTTGCTTGTGTCGCGGTGCATCTGTTTAGGGCGGGGAGTCAAACTTGCTATAAACAAAATGCACCTTTTTTTTTATGATTTATAGCCACTGATTGTTAAGCTAGTTATTGCATCAAATAAGATCAACCAGGATAGAACAATGAAAGTTGCACACTGGAGAAAATAGCACCAATTTCAAGCTGAACTTTACCTAAGCATGCAAGCATAGTACGCTGGTATTTTGTTATTTTGACTCTGGTACACTTTATCATCACCTGGTTTTTACTATGCATGTATAACGTTCATGCATTTTTATAGAGATGAGCATCCCTGTGTAGTAATGCCACTACAATGTAGCTGTATGGCACTAGCTACATTGTAGCGGCTTAATTTCTAGGTGCTGACGTATCGCATATTTCCAGAATATACATGGGCTAGCATATGTAGGCATGCAACCCAATCCCACAGACTGATGAGTGTGTGGTGTCTGATGGATCGGGTCAGCTTTCTTGACTGACTCAAGTGTTGGTGCTGCCTTCCTCGCAGCAAGCCTTTGAGGTAATCTGCCTTGGTCTGAAGCCAAGTGTTGGCGACACAGAGAAAGACTCTAGCTTGCCTGTGGTGAGGGCCACTGGCATCTCTCGGGGTGGTTAAATTTAGAGCACTGTGTCACGGAGCCAAAAGCTCTCGTCATGCTTGCTTAAATGCCCTTTGTCTAGTCCTGTGCATGCTTCTTGTCTTGTTGTGACTTTATATTTCCTTGTTGCTCCCACGCTTCTTGATGAAGGATTTTGATGACTCGGCAAAGCACTTGCTGTTTTGACTGGAGTGACGTACACTTGGCTCTGTGTTGGTGGTGTTGTGAGCATTGCAGATTGTGCAGAAGGCCAGGTGGTGTTGTTCCTCTATTGACCCCTCCGATACACTTTTTTTAAAGACAAATTGCTCTTTGTTGAGACTTACTGGACAACACGTGTCCAACACAAGAAAGCTGGCATTTGTGCAGTCACATTGGTCACCTGCTGCCAAGTTCCTTCTGTAAAGTACTTACTCATTTATGCTTGCCTATGGCATATGTTTCTTTAAGTTCAGGATGGTGACCTCGCATAGCAATGGGGCTGTGTAATAAATTCTGGAAAAATATTTTTTATATGTTGTTTTTTAAAAGAAGAAGTTTCAGCAGTGTAATAAGAATGCTTCTCTGTGGTCGCGTTTATGTATTCCGCCACATGTCGAAGATGTGTATGAGTTTTCACATCAATACTTCTCATGCAGACTAATTTCGTCTTTCAAGTATGTCACTTTTACCTTATGATATTTTTGCTTTACAACCCAGCTGACATTTTGTGACACAGGCTAATATTAGAGACATAATTTTCCTAGCTTGCTCAAGCCATCAAGGTTGCCCATCATTTATAGGTCAGCTTTTCCAAGACACTGCAAACTGTCAAGACTATAGATGCCAGGTAATAATAATCATAATTGTTGTTTCTGGTGGCAGTGCTTAACATGCTAAAAACGATGATGTGATTATGAGAGACACCATAGTGAAGGGCTTCAGAAATTTCAACTACGTAGGGTCCTTGAACATGCATTCGAATTTAAGCACACAGCCCTCAGGCATTTTCGACTCTGTATTGATGGAACATGCATTTGAATTTAAGCACACAGCCCTCAGGCATTTTCGACTCTGTATTGATGCTGCTGCTGCTGCTGCCGAAATTCAATCCCACGACCTATGGGTGAGCACTTGAGCACCATAACCACAGAATTCCTTGGTGGGTAGATGCGTGATAATCAGCTAACGCTACTTCCTCACTAACCTGGTATTCAGGTGGAAAGGACATTCCCTGCAAGTGTCCCGCTTGATATTTATCTTTCAAACATCTTTATAGGGGTTGCACGACAGTTAAATATAGTGCACCCTTGTTAATGTCAACCCTCAAACAAGAAAGACCCATGGGGTAAACCCTGGGAGGATTATACGGGATGAAAAATGTAGCTTAAGTGAAAAGGTGTACCTTTATGCATTTTTGAAAAACAAAATGCTATCATTTTTATTGCGTGATTTAACCTGAGTTGCATATTAGCTAGAACTATGTCAGGTCCTATATCCATGAGTCCAACTTTGAAACTTAACTGGACTTGATGCACGTCTTTGTAGAGTTACACCGGGCTAACAAGACCATATTCTCATCTCCTTACCTTACCGCTGTCATTCATCACTCTTTCACCCTTCCTTAGTGTAGAGCAGCAGGTCAGAGCAAACTGTAGCTCAGGCTGACTTCTCTATCTTTCTGTCTAGATATTCTCTCTCTCTCTCCAGAAACTTGACTTTGCCAGATGCTAGCTGCTCAGGCGCATTTGCGATTTTTTTCTGTTTGATAGCACGATATCGATTTTCATATATAAAACTGAAGCCTGTATTCATGAAAAGCATAATGATCGCTATGTTATCAGACTGTGTGCCCTCCCTTGAGACATTACACGGTTTATACCTGACTTGTTAGCATCTATATTATTGAGTATGTATGAGTAACAGCTTCTCTAATGGCCATCGGTAGCATTAATGGGATCATAATATCAAATGCTTAATAACTGCTGGCCTAAAGCAATGAACCACTGTCCGTGTATTGCAGTATGTGGCCACATAGAGGTGCGAAATCGGGTGAGCAGCCTGGTGGCACACCTGGGCAACTGCTCGGTGGTGGAAGGCTCTCTCATGGTCATGATGACACGTGCGGAAGATGATATCTGGGCGAATTTGAGTTTCCCCCACCTGACGGAGATCACGGGCTTCCTGTTCTTCTACCGAGCCATCGGGCTCCAGTCGCTGGGACGACTCTTCCCAAACCTGGCTGTCATCCGGGGTAATCAGTTATTTCAGGTATGGATGTCACTACTTATCGTAATTTTTTATGTACACTCGTTCGCTCAATATTTTGCTCATTTGCACTGCAGTCTCTGTGAGACTTTATACGGGGGCTTGCACAAACTACGAGATTGTAGTTTGAGTACCAGCTCGTGCAACCTGGAGTAGAAGTCTTAATTGGGCAATGAACAGCTTCGCAGTGCCATCTTATAATCCATGAAAGCCTATTTTGTGTTTTGAGTGAATGGAATGTAAAGTGTTACAAAATACATATTATCAGGGCCCAAGAAACTTGCTAAAGGATCTTTACAGCCTTCATGTATTTATAGTGATACAAATGTGAGCGAGTACTGTCATTTCAACTTCAAGTAACCTACTTTGCACTCTGCATAATAATAATCTTCCGGGTTTATGTAGCAACACTCTTATTTTGACAACAGTCTTATTTTGAGTGGCTTCAGGGAAGGTTTTTACAATGCACTATCTATACGAGTGGTGTGTCTGGTCGAAGGGGAATATACTTGAGTGATATGAAAATTTGAGAAAGAAAAAAGTAAACATTCATATTTTCTTTCGTATCCCTATCCCTTCAAAGTTGTACAGTAAGCAGAGTTCCTTAGATACGAATTCTGCTAAGACAAATCTGTTCACAAGGGGAACAGTTTAATAACTTTCGATGTTATCCTGTGGATTGAGTGAATTTCGCCTAATGTCACTTAATGTAAACTTCTGATAGGTTGAAGGGACACTGGTCCCATAGAAGTAGATGTACCCGTTTTAGTGCATATACAAGGCTGCTTGATTGTTACTGCATTGTAAGGCATTTGCATGGCATTATTTGTGAATGCTGAGTGGGAGAGTTGGTACTGTAAAAGCACCACATCTGGCCCCTTATGCCGTATTTACCTTAGGATTTTTTACAAGACTTATTTTATTGTTACGCAACCATGAGAATGATAATTTATATGTCATAATTTGGATCTGTCTAGTAATACTCATGCTTGTACCTTCAGGAGGTTTTTGCGATGTTAATTTATTACTTTTCAGAGTTTGAAGTTTTCATATGTTTTTAAATGCACGAAGATAGTAACAAGACTACACACAAGAATAATGACTGTAAGTTGTTGTATTTGTAACACAATGTTTTGCTTTAATACGAACACTTCGCAAAGTCACAAAGTCATTTGTAGATTGGAGGAGAGAGCTAAGGGAAATGTATATACTGTTTGGTTGCCTGAACCACTATACTTGAAGCCTCTATAGATATTGTTACTTCCATAGATACTAGCACTTTGCACCGCTAACGACACCACTGTAAGGTAGATAAGTGTACAATATGTTGTAGTTTAAAGGCTAACCTACATTCCCTGTTTCTTTGGCTCTAGAACTATGCCCTGGTGGTGTTTGAAGTGGAGACGCTAGTTGAGTTGGGGCTGTCGCGGCTCACCGACATTCAACGAGGGGCGGTGCGCATCGAGAAGAACCCCAACCTGTGCCACGCAAACACGGTGGACTGGAACCGCATAGCTCCGCATGCGGCTGACGTCCATCACATTGTGGACAACCGGGACCCCTCGGAGTGTGCGCCCTGCCCCGAGCACTGCCCCTTGAGGGATGGCCGTGCGGGTGCGGGCAGCCGCCTCTGCTGGAACCGCGAACGCTGTCAGAAGGGTGTGTCCTGTTTTATTTGTGAACGCCATTCAAGAGAGCCGGGCTTGTTGGGCCAGCTGCTATAGTCATAACATTACCTGAGGGCAGATTGACCCAAACGAGAAAAGTGAACAATGCAGAATTCTGCACTCAACTTCACATAAAAAACTCTAAATCCAGCACTTAAGGTAGCGCTAATTCTACTCAACTCTAGCACTAATTTTGCGGTTCTTATGCAAATTCATATTCAAGTCCTTATCTGAAATAATACTTATAACCATTTAAAGAACGCTCCGTGTCAAGCAGCTCCTGCTGCTAAGCTCCTGCAGCATTCATACTGGCAATTTCTTTTCTGTTTGCAAGCCTACATCGTTACAAAATTCTACAGTATCTAGGTACGAGAATCGAAGGCTGTCAGAGTTAGGCAGGGATGTAGCAAATCTTATAAATATTGTTCATGTTTTTTCTAAGTTGTTGCTGCATTTCATTATGTTCAGCAACCAAGGAAGGCCACTGCAGTCACATCTCCCGCGATTTTCCCATTGCAGTGTGTCCTTTGGCTTGTGACCGAAACCACACGACCTGTGACAACGAGGCTGGCACACGCTGCTGCGACCCCAAGTGCCTTGGTGGCTGTGGTGCTGGCTCGGAAAGGGAACTCTCAGTCTGCACGGCCTGCTTACACTATACATACGAGAATGGCTGTGTCAACACCTGCCCACCAAATACCTATGTGGTTCGTATGCAGAGACTTTGTGCATTTGTTTCTTAGGCATATGCCACTAACGTATCTCTGATGTGCGAAACAAGGATCTGTGCTACCGCTTCCGTTACATCTGGCATTGGGCACAATATATTTCCACATATATATAATGTTTCCTTCACTCCCTTTTTACCGCATTCTCAGTGCAGAGTAGCAGGCCAGAAGGCTTAAGTTCAAGTTAACCTGTTTATTTTCTGTAAAAGAATTTATTCCTCCTCCTAATATGTGCTACTAGCAGGTGATGTCATATGGTAATGCACTCAATGCTGGTGACATATTTCATTTAAAACGCACGTAACATGTCTCCTCTTATGTGCTGAAGAGCCTACAATGATTTCCTCAGAGATTTGAGGAACTTGCACAAAAACCAGAACTCGCACAAAGCACATACTTACTCATTATTTTATAATTTAAACATCGCATAATTTCTCATCATTGTATCATTTCAACATAATGAAAACAATCTGCACATAAATGGTCAGCCAGGCTGACCTGTTAGTCATTTCATTGTAAGCTAGAAGTGTGAACTGTTGCACCATCTGTCCATGGTGCATCAGACTCGGTAACAGTAGTTTCCTAAGTAAAGTAGAAGCAACTAGTAATTAAAATTTTTTGTTTAAATTTCTGTTCGTACGATGTTTGCTTTGGCTGCAGTTCATGGGACGGCGCTGTGTAGATGAGGCGTACTGCAGACGGCAAGAAGCAACAGTAGAAGGCAGCATCCGGACCTTCATTCCCTTCAACGGTTCATGTACACTCGACTGCCCGCCCAACTATGTCCGCGAGGGCCAGACATGTCGCCAATGCCGCGGGATTTGTCCCAAAGGTAAACAACATACTTCTCTTGCGTGCAGTGTATCCTAATGCTCATGTTCCTCCGTGCTTAACTTTCTTTCAGGCAGAAGTTATTACTAGAGGTACAAGTATCTCTCACTTCAGTTTTTAAACACTGTTCATGACACAGAAGGGCACACTGTTCGTAACCACTGCAGAAATTTCTGCCATCAGCAGCATCAACAGTATCAGCTCAGATATTTGGGGTGAAACAGACTGTTTCTTTTCAATGATAAAACTAAGGCATGTCTCTCATAAACATAAATAGCATATCACAGTGAAACATTTATTTGAAAAACTCGTGCTTGTGTGTGAACTTCCTAATATTACATGTTTTATTGTGGAAACAGCACTCTGTTCCGGTTATAATGTTCTCAATAAGGATTTGTAAACTTGTGTTTAAATATTGTCACGGGGGTGAGAGAATGAATGCAATAAATATATTTACAAAATACACAGGGAGAGTCAGAGGCAGCTGCAGCCAAGATGGAAGAATAGCAGCAACAACAACATGAGCACGGTCGCTTTGATCGTCTTCGTCGTCTATGATGCTCTTTCGTTGCCGATGTGTAACAATATAAATTCAGGCAATAGTGGCATAATTCAATGTGTTAGACTGTCACTCATTACTGATATAGTCAAGAGTATAGTATACTCTGTGAAGTACATAGCAAGCATTTCAGTTAGGGAAAGCAGGGTAACCGCTGTCAGAACATTGTGATGAATTTTCATCAGACATCAAGAAATGCATTCAGTGTATTTGACAGTACGTAGTACCAATTTCTGTTATGTCAAGATTGACTGTATTGCATGATACTCCTGACGTTTCCTGGTTGCTGGTTGGGATGATTGAATTGAATTGTGTTTATTTTATTTGCAAACAATGAACACCGTGTTTCCCGTTTGTTTCTGCCCTATTCACAGTGTGCTCGAGTTTTCTGGTTGACAGCATTTCATCTGCCCAGAAGCTCAAGGGGTGCACATACATTAACGGGTCACTGGTCATCCAGATTCGTGGAGGAGGTGAGCATATGAGAAAAGTCACGGGGCTGTATTTTCGTCAGTCTGTTGGCTTATTTGTCTTCCAGCTTCATTGCAGTCGCATAAAAGTTATTGAAGGGGCCATGACAACCAATTTTTGGTCATAATCTGTCTTCTTTGGGTAAATCCTTGTGCATTTACCAACAATCTTGCAAAATTGTGGTGCATTTGGTCAAGCACTTAATTGATAATTCAATAGTGTTGTAAAGATGGAAGTGCCCTGAGAGTTGAACACTGTCAAAGTTGCAAGCCATGATGTAACGAACTGTTTGCTTTGCGATCGCACACATTCCAGCAAATGATTTTGTTCCATGGTCAGCTGCGCTTGCTTTCGAGCTATATAGGATGTTTTCAGCTTGGCAATAAAATGGAACTACATATGCTTGCTGCGGCTGAAAATTCGGTAAAAGACGACATCTGCGCTCCGTGTCGCACTTGACGTCACCCATGCCTGGTCAAAATGGCGATCTCAAATGGTGGGCGGGGCTTAAAGCCAGTTATGTATAGGTCTGATTTTTCACTGCAAAATTCTTCTACTGTCGATATTTCATATTTCGTATTTACTCACATAGTTTGGGCAGTCTTTTTTCACGATTTTTAGAGCTCCGAAGGGAAGGTGGAGCGCAATTTACGCGGGGATTTCGCGAACGCATGCGAAATAAAAAAATAATAAATTGAAACACAAACGAAGTGTACATCCTAATTTAACATAAATAGCACATACTTTAACCAGTCAGATTCGGTCATGCGCAGTCTAGTCAGAATCACTGATCCGAAAGGTCCGACTGAGAATCATCGTCGTGGCCACGTCAACACCCTCGCCCTCCCAAAGCGCATCGTCCTCGGTTTTGTCAAGCGGATTCGAATGCCCCATATTCTGGAAGCTTCTCTCGATAATGTTGGGAGAAACTGGTTCTCTCGATACGGCGATACCAGATGAATTAAGCATTTGCACATAATTGAAAAGACCTCCTTCAGTGGCAGGAAACTTGTATGAGCAAGCATGCACTCTTCTGCTTTCCCTCGTACCGATCCCGTCGATTGTACTTGTCAAATAATTTGCGAATCGAAATATTTGACAAGTTGGAATTTGATTCATATTCGTATATTCTAGTATTTTCAGACCCCTTAGTTTCTCGTGCCATTGTTTTATGCAGGGAACATAATGAAGGAGCTGGAGACCAATTTGGATATGATAGAGGAGATCAGAGACTACCTCAAGGTCACCCGATCAAACCAGCTCATCTCCCTGAACTTTCTGAAGAAGCTTCGGATCATCCACGGCAAGGCACTTGACCGAACATAGTAAGCCACATATGTTGTCTCTCCCCTTTCTGTGGAGGCTGAGAGAGTTGTCAATCGCAGGGACCACATGAAGCAGCATGCTAGTTATTTGAGGCCCGCATGATTGCCAGGTCAAATGTGCTGCCCACAGTTGTGAAAAGGCCACGGCATGCTGTGGCACAATGAACAGGATGAAAATGTGTCGATTTGAACATGAAACTGATTCTGACTTCGATCGGCTTGTTTACGGAGTGAATTGGAATGTGTAGGAACAGGCAGTCAGCGTAATCAAAGAGTTGCAGGATGTAGAATATTTGTTTTGCAAAAAAAGATCAACTTTATCAAGTAATGAAAGTCACGGAAAATAAAAGGTTTCATTACAATTGAGTATATAAAGCCCTTAGTTTTTGTTGCTTAAACTTGTATCAAGCCATGTCGTACCTAAAATTTTGAGCGATCTGAATGTCAGGTTTTGTGTTCTGCTCATCCCCCAAGTTTGTCGTCTGTATGCATGTACAGTTGAACCCCATTATAAGAGACACTGACGTGAGAAGACACTGGTTAGGTAATAAGAAGCACCATTATGCCCAAAATGGAAATTGGATTTGATCAAAAAACAATGGGCTCCTCGTATCAGGAACAAGAACTCCCAGGTGCATGTCTCTTTTAAAGGGGTTCAGCTGTATTTGGTTATTGTTTATTCAAGATTTTGCACCTTTAATCTTATTTCACCTAGTTACTCCCTCATCGTCCTGGACAACCAGAACCTGCAATTACTCTGGGATTGGTCAAGCCAGCCATCCAATCGCACGCTCACCCTGAACAATGGCAGGGTGTTCTTCCACATCAATCCCAAGCTGTGCATCAGTCGAATTGGGGAGCTGAAGAAGCACACAAACATCAAGGAGTGGAGCGACCATGACGTATCGCCGCACACCAACGGAGATCGGGCAGCATGTGAGTGCCCTTTATGCAAGAACTAAAAAAACGAGCACTCGAAAACATGCTCCACACAAATGCATGTACGAAAAGATGCACATGTGGTCGGATTTCGACTTAATGATGTCTCAAGCTTTTCTCATTTTCGTTTCTTGCTTCCATTGGAGTGCATTTTTCCCGCCTTCAAACAACGCACTTTTGTGACGCAGTTTTCATGATACAATATGGCTTCTGATTTTGAAGTAGCAGAATAGGGAATTATATTCGGTGGTTTTATGAGTCAAAACTATTTTAGTGGAGCAGATGCACAAGCGAGTAAGCGCCTTGAAAGAGGACGAAAGCCTCGCGTTCTGATTGCGCGAGAGTCTGTGCCGCTTTTGCCAGCCTTGCTGTACGGTCCTTTTTCATTGCGACCTCGTTGCGACTTCGCCACTTCAATAAACCTCATCACACTATGGCAAGAATATTAAGCACACTGTAGTGTGAAACTGTGCAACACACTTCACAACTTAGTGGTCTTTTCTGTGTGCCTAAAATGAAGTGCACAGATGTTTTAGCCTTTATTGAAGTGTGGTCACTATGGTTGAGAATCGGACAGTCATTCCTGAGCTTGGCAGCACAGTAGGATACCAATGCAGTACCCTGGCAGGTCGCACAAAGGGCGAATTTCGGCAAGTTATTTACCAAGTTCAAAATAGACAAAAAATAAATGTGGTGGAGATGGGCCATCGCGCTGTGCCGATGAAATCTTGGCCTTCCAGGGTGTTCTCAAAGCGCTATTGAGACAAGATCTTAGCAACCTGTCACAGGTGACTAGAGCCCGGTTCGTTAAAGCCTGCAGGACCTCTCAATATACTTATTTCTAACAATCCATCCTCCGTAGTGCCTCCTATGTAATTAAATCAATCATAGGTTGTCTTTATTTCCTGGACGTCTAGTAGTAGGTTGGCCATTCATGTGCAGCCTCGCTGAGTTTTCATTTCGTGCTCAACAACAATGCCCTTTTTGCACTTGCTGCAATGTCACACAATGCTAATGATCTTTTTCTGTTTCTAAACTGCTCTCATCTCTAATTTTCCCTAATGTCGTCCATAAGGTCGCTTGTAATATTTTCACGTATGCACCTGTGTAAAATATAGCCGCACGAGAATCTTGAAGGTACGCATCACACAATACGCTTAATTGTAAAACGAAAACTTCAGTGCAACAAAGTTCTTGATATAACAAAGTAGTTTTTTTTTGCACATACGACTCTGTTATATCAGTGCTGTACTGCAGTTTCAGAACTACATGCATTTGAGTTTAAAACCTACCGCAGTGTCTGGTATCAGCAAGATTCAATCAATCAATCAATCAATCAATGAAGCTTTATTTTCATAAATAGATATATGCAATTACAGGGATTATTTGGACCGATAGCCTAAAGTGGCTAGTGGACGGTCCAATACAATGTGCAACATAAAAAAGTGTACAGGTCAGCTCTGAGGTAACAACATAAAAAAAAACAATCATGTGATACAGATAACACAGTAATACATTTTTTCTTGCAGATATGCATACTTATTAGCTTGCAGCTAGTTTCTATACATAGGCACTTATTAAAAAAATACAATGAAAATCGAATCACACACACATGCTTACATGTCTTGACTCCACAGAAAAAATGATTTACATGCCATGCTGAAATTACGTGCCGTTTTAATCTCTAGGGGGACCGTGTTCCATATTTTTGTTCCACTAAACTGTATCAGTCTTTCTCCGTAAACATTAAAACATTTGGGCAGATTGAAATTACCATTCGAAGCATGTCGCGTATTGCGTTTAGGAATTGAAAAAAGATCAGCAGGCAAAGGTGAATTTCTATTAATTATGTTATTTACTGAAACAGCAATTTTGTAGTCACGCAACATCGGAACCGAGAGAATGCGTTGTGATTGGAAAATATTACTTACTGATTCACCTTGGCTTATGATTTTCAGTGTACGCTTTTGAAGTCGTTCAAGAGTTTTTAGATAACTGTTGTACGTCACACCCCACGATTCCAGACAGTAACCTATGTGACAATGACACAATGAAAAGTAGAGTGTGCGGAGTATAGCTTGTGGAAAATATTGGCGAGCTTTTATTAGAGAATAGCAGCCATAGGCTAGCTTTGCGCACACACTTTGTACTTGCTCATGCCAGTGTAAGTGTTCATCAAAAGTGACGCCTAAATATTTAAAACAAGGAACTTGTTGAATAGGAGTGTTGTTTATTGTTAGGTTAAGAGATTCAGCGTCAATATGTTTCCTACGAGAGTGAAACACCATATACTTTGTTTTAGTACAGTTAACTGTCAGCTTATTCCTGGCAAACCATTCCGAAATGTTCGATAAATCGGTCATCGCGTCATTTTGTAAATCTGCTAAGGAGTGTCCTGTGAAAACTAAAACAGTGTCGTCCGCGTACATCAGTGCCCTTGACCTTTGTAGGGATCGCGGGACATCATTAATATAAAGAGAGAACAATATAGGGCCCAAAACTGAACCCTGTGGCACCCCGCATTTAATATAACCGTAGGATGATTTGATGTCACCAATGACTACCTTTTGTTTGCGTGCCGATAGATAACTAGAAAAAAAATCAAGCGAGTTACCTTTTATCCCATAAGAATGCATTTTTTCCAGTAAAATGGAATGACTAATAGCATCAAATGCCTTTCGTATGTCTAAAAATACTGCTATTGCTATGTTGTTTTCATGTAGCGCGGAATTAATATATTGCGTAAGCATCGAAACAGCAGTTGAAGTGGACCTGTTTGCAACAAAGCCGTGTTGCTGGGGACAAAGTACATTCTGTTCACCCAGGAAGCGCCTTAATTGCGACGAAATTAGTTTTTCAAGCGTAGTGTTAATACTACTCAGAACAGATATTGGTCTGTAGCTGTCCGGAAGATTCCGATCACCAGATTTGTACACTGGTATTACTTTGGCGGTCTTAAGTATACTAGGATAAGTTTTAGAGGAAAATGCATGATTAAATATATGGCATAAGGGACCACACAATACATCAATATTCTCCTTTAAAATCCTTGATGATATGGCGTCATGTCCAGCTGCCTTGTTCCCTGGTAAGATTACGTGGTTGCTCGCAGTAGGCAAGGCTTGACTGATCTGATGCATGCGTCTTGAATGTTTTTTTGGGACAGTATTGAAACCTGTAGTGTCTTGTAGTGCAGTCATGGATACTGCTACTGGTTCACTTACTATGCACAATGTTGGCCATTGCTTCTTGTCACAGGTGATGTTCACAAGATTAACGCCACGCTTAGCAAAGTGGGGAACAAGTTTGCTGTCATCAACTGGTCCTTGCAGTTTGAAGCAGTGATTTACGATAAGCGGTCTCTTCTTGGCTATGTGGTGTACTACCGGGAAGCGTAAGTGTTGAACAACGGTGCTTTTCGAACAGTGATAAATTGAGCGATGTTGCTAGAGCCAGCAGCAAGAAGAGTTTTTATTTGTCATTGGTGAGATGTACAATAGCCCCGGTAAAAATGTTGCCTGCTCTGACAAAAGATGAGCCGTTCGTCAAAACGTGGCCTCCAGCAGCGTGGTTTGTTCAGAATTGGAATTCGATTGTTAAAACTTGGGTAATGTGACGGGCACTCAGTATACAGGAGGAGGTCCCATGGTCAAAGCTTGTATTGGAGCCTCCTTAACCACTTTTCATCACCTCAAGTCTCTGTATTCCTGCGAGATTCTGTCTTGCTTGATGACAGGTCGCATAAGAAGTGGCAAACAATAGTTAAACAAAGAAGTTTAGCTTCCAGTCACTTTTGTTCCCACACTGCTTCTTCTGCTTTTTTACAGCCCGTTTCAAAACGTGACACTCTATGATGGTCGGGATGCTTGCAAAGGAGATGTGTGAGTATGGCTTCTAGGCTCTCTTTTTTTTTATGGGGCAAAATGGTTTAATAATAAAGTCTCTTGCACCTTTGGATCGAGATCTAATTTGCATCTGGAATTTTTATAATTGCTACATACTTTTCTTATGAAAGATGAAAGCTTTAATAATATAACCTTCCACTCTCGAAGTGTACAATTCAAGTGAGCACGTGCTTGGTTAACCTCCCTAGCTATCCCCTTTGTTTCTCCCTCTTTCCTGTACAGGGTAGATATGGAGGGAAAGTTAATATTGGAGTATTTTTATAATTTAGATTGTTGTATGTTGCTTTTGTGCAAAATAGTTTTTACTTTACAGTTTTTCTCGCGATGAGCTTCAATTCTTGTGCAGCCAGAGCTGGTTGGTCCTGAGGACATGCTCTGCTCGACACTACTGCCTGCTTTTAGTAAGGCTTAACGAGATAAGGCAACAGCCCTCGTGAGGCTGTGTGAGCCTAGTTAGTTTCCAAATGCTAAATCATCCAAGTGGTGTACACTCAAAGCTTCATATGATGAACACAAATATAATGAAGTATTGGTAATAATGAAGTAAGTGAAGAATTGTTTTGTTATATATACAGTGCTACGAATAACCATTCGTAACAAATGTTTAGATGTAACAAAGTACTTTTGTGACTTTGTTATAATGATGTTTGAGTGTATAATTACATACAATAGGATTTTTTTCTTTTACCCTAATTTGCTTTGTGCCGTGTCTATGGCCTCATTATGATAATCATGTAAAAAAAAATTTCTAGGTTAACTTGAGAAATTGTAGTTGATCTACTGCGTGGTAAGCAAGTGCCTAACCTCGTTTCCACACCGAACAGTTAAGAAATGGAGTACAATGCATGCGACAACAGAGTGGAGGAGTACTGGCATTGTCGTGCTGTCACAATACACACACACATGCACGGCTTGCTTGCAGATGGCTGGAATGCCTCCGGAAGCACCATGCGAACGGCTGAAAAGCCATGAGGTCGAACAGTAATGATGCCCCATTCGATTGTCTGTAACGCAAGTTCAATAAACTGTGTGTGCTGTGTGATTTGGAGGTGTGTTACTGCATAAGCAGTGGCACGGACAATTGGTCAAGTTGGCACTCGTTCATGTTCGACAAAATGTGGCACACACACACAGAACGGATGCTAGAAAAGGGAGGAAATATTCAACGTTAATGGTTCGTTTCTGCCAGATATATTTTTTGTCTGTGTGTGCATTAAAGCGCAGCCTTATCTGGGACATGTTGCTTATGAGGTCATTGGTAGAAATGGTTTTTATGGGTTTTTGTTTTTGTTTATTTAGTTTCAGCTTTTACTTTATAGTTTTTACAGCGAATGCTGATGTGAAATCACAACAAGGGCAGATTCTGGTGCCGTAGTTGTCCCCTTTCGCCGCAGGTGTTTGTAACCACTATTATGCGAAATAACAAAAAGAAGCACCCCAATAAACTGAAAATACCGAAGACAGATTGGGAATTGAACCCGAGCCCTCCACGTGGTAGCCCCGAACTCTACCACGGAGCTACAGCGGTGCTTGAAACTGATTGCATACTGATTCTACGTGTGCCTCCTGTTGGTTAACGAATCACATTAACTTGTGTAATAAAGTGTTTTAGAACAGTGAAGTAACAACCAGGCATCACAAAATGTGAATTGTGTAATGAGGGGGTAATTGAACGCCCCAACTCATTACTAATGCCTCTGACGTAATTCTTCATTATCGTCAGCCACTGCATCAACAAAGTTGACATAATTTCTTACTAGTGTGTAGCGGGTACCATGCTTTTTCGAAGAATTGCGAATAATGGCATAGTGGGCGCTTTGCCATGACACGAAAATTATGATGATTTATAGTGTAGTGGGTAACATGCAGGTAATGGGTGTCACAAGCTTGATTTAAAAAAAGGCCGCTCTTCCAGCTTTTGCTGAGAGTGTGCTGTGCATTCTGCGCAGGCCTGTCGTCTTCCTTTTTTATAACAGTTTTTCTCTCTCTCCTTTTAGGTGGAAGATGGTTGATGCAGAAGTAGGTGTTGATGTCCAGATCATTGCACACCTAAAGCCGTTCACGCAATATGCTGTCTATGTCAAGGCCTACACGCTGTTCACGACAACCTCAACACAAGGGGCACAGAGTGACATCTTCTACTTCAAGACCCTTCCTGCATGTGAGAACACTTCATAGTTACAATCTCAGCAGCTGTTGCACTGGAAACGAAAAAGTTTGCTTCTACTCTTGTGTACGTGGTGCGGTGTATACTGGGCTGACCAACAATTTCCGGAGGTGATAATACAGCATAGGGATAGCTGAATATTCGAGCATTTCGAGTGTTTTAATGAATACTGCAGTGTTTTAATATGCTTCAATGCAAGTTAAAGTTATTCTAAATGAATAAATAGATGTGCCATCGACCGCATGTAACCACCATTAAAAAGTGGCTTCACTGTGGCATGCGACTGCTCTGCCATGAAACAACCTTGTTAAGGAAAATCCTCACTGCCGTGAAATCACACGTCAAGGTTAAAATGTTTGTATTCACTGCACCTCAATCAATTTCCTTTTTCTTAAAGTTTAAAAGTATTAAGATGGCTAATATGCACTAAGTATAGCAAATTTTAAAACTTTACCTGTTTTACTGCATATTATGTAGACCCTGTTTCTATTCAAATCCTGCCACTGTTTGAATGTGCTTCAACTTCTTTACACCAAAAAGGTGATCCTCTTACATGTTTATTGTTAATTCTTGAAATATTGTAGAAGTTAACTGGGTTTTCTAAAATATGCGATAAATACTACTCCTACCGTTTGGTTCAAAATTACTTGAAAAATTTCTATTTACTTTGACATTGAATTGAACTTCTAGTTTGTTATTCATTTATTCCTAGTGTATTGCTTCAATGTCGTGCACAGCCCAACAAATTTTTGCGCACTGCATGCTTGTTCTTGTCCCTTCTTGTCAACAGGCCAGTTCATGCCACTGCACAGAGCAAATGGCTTAGGGAAGCTACGAAACAATCCCCACTGAATGAATTCGGAGGGCACCATTGCCATTCATTTATTTATGCATCCTTAGGGCGTCATATGCAGCACTGTTTGATGTGATTGTGATGAGCTTTAAAATAGCAGATATTTCCAATGCCATTGATGGCACCAAACATGGCATGGTTAACAAATGGGCTCATTATCCAATCCTAAATAGCATTGGCAGCAAGTGGCATGGCATGCATAAAATATTGAGTAAGGGCTGTTATGAAGATAACATTCGCTTTGGTTTGGTTTTGTAAAGGTGGCTGGGTGAGTACAATTCATGCCTGCAGGAAAAAAGAAGAAAACTAACCGGAAATCAGGAATACCACTTTTGCGAAACCTGGAAAGGAAAGGTGTGACAACCACACTGATCGGCAAATTACAGCTATGATGGTTTCCCCTGCATACTGTCCCTGATGTTGCAGTATATGTTCAAGTTGACTGCTTTGTGCTCCATAAAATTGTGTAATAAAGTAACAGTCACTACAGAAATGTTTTCTGTGTAATAAATATGTGCCATTAGTGCATATTTATTTTTAAAAAGCAAATTAAAAGCTGCCTGTGCTTTCATAATCATTGGAATGGTCTCTGCAAAAACAAAAAAAAAAATTAAATTTTTTTTGCTCTCTAAGCAGTGTTGCCTTTCTTGGTTCTATTGTGTTTCAGCACCAAGCCAGCCTCAGAACTTGAAAGCACATCCTGTTAAAGACTCAAAACTTCTCATCAGCTGGACGCCACCAAAGCACCCCAATGGGGATGTACGGTACTATCGAATAGTGGGCATAGCCCAGCCCAGTGCTCCTCAACACCAGTACTTGGGCGAGAACCGAGACTATTGCATTGACCGTGAGTAGCGTACTTTTACTGTTGGGATTACTGCCAATAGGCGTCCCTATTGATGTGTGTGTGTGTGTGTGTGTGTGTGTGTGTGTGTGTGTGTGTGTGTGTGTGTGTGTGTGTGTGTGTGTGTGTGTGTGTGCGCGCGTGCGCATGCACGTGTAGATAAAAATGCTGAAGGTTGAAAAAATAAAAAGGTTGCTTTAGGGCAGATGGCTAGGAATTATTGCAAATTCACTGACATCATATCACTGTTCAGACGTGCTTCTGAGTTAGTTTAAAAAGAGCAGTTTTGGAACTATTAATAAGGTTCAATAGTCGATTTTACCAAAACATGCCGAGGGAGTGTTCCCCTCCTTTGGTGAAATAAAAGAGCAGTTTTGGAACTATTAATAAGGTTCAATAGTCGATTTTACCAAAACGTGCCGAGGGAGTGTTCCCCTCCTTTGGTGAAATATGATTGGACGAGATTTGGAGAGAGGGCCCTCGTTCGGTTGCAGAAAAAAAAATTCAGCATGGTGGCAGAAGACCCTCCCATAAGAATGGGCACCTGTTCTTCTAAGGAAATGTTTTGTTGAACATGCGTGCACTTACCGTTCTACAGAACCAGAGGGATTTCTCGTGTGAAATTTCGTGCATTATAGCAAGTGAGGAGTAAGCTTTCTCAAGTGTTAGACAGTTCGGGACAACTGAGAATGCAGCTCCAAGGCAGCACACTATAAACGTACTAAAAAATCATGCACATACTCAATGATTCCCAAAACTTGGATTACTAGGAAAAGTGCAGCTGCAACATTGTGTAGCTGAGAACAGGATAAAAAAAATGTTTGAGTGGTTCATTGACACATACTTCAAGTCTCCAGGCAAAAAAAAAAAAAAAAGGAAAGGGGCACTTTCTTCGGTAGGGGCGCTTGCTTGGGACTTAACGTTAAGTATTTTAGGCGTATATCACACATACCATTCAGCAGGCAGTAAGAGGGCTGTAAAACACAGCACTATAATGAAAGCTCTCCTGCGTTTGACTGCCACAGCCAACTCTTGATTCGTGTCTGGCACGACTTGGTTTGAATTATTTTATGGTGGCTTTCTCGGACATCAAAAGAGAACGCCCTTGTGGCTGCTAAGTGCACTACTTGCCTCAAAAACCTTTAAACTGAGGCTACATCATCTGCTCTTAGAAGTAAGTAAAGATTAATACAAGTGTCTCATTGTCCACTGGGCTAAATTTTAGCTGTGATTCATTTAGTAGGAGCTCGATCGTCGCTAGCATCACACGAGATGATTGAGTGATACTGTATCTGTCTTTTACTTGCCACAGTGACTCCTTGGTGTTGTGGAGAACATGAGTTAGTTTCTTGGCTATGACAGTCATTCCAGTGAGGCTTAATGCACAGCACTTTGCGTTCATAGAAGGGTTTTAGATGGCCAGAAAGAATCCGCCATTGTGGTAGCTCTAGCTTTGTTTCAGGGTAGTATGTGCCACATCTAATTTAGTTTGCGTGTTTTCTGTTGAACGCAGCGGCACTCGGAATTCGGGGCAAGTCAGACGGCAAAGATCCACTAGCCCCCGCACCGTCAGAGCCTGCCGAAAAACCAATAGTCAAGTCCCCTGACAGTTCACCTGCCAAGCCACCATCGAATGACACCTGCCCACCTTGCCTGTTCCCTCAGGACCGTGAGGTCAATGAAGAAGAAGTTGAGGATCGGGCAAGCTTTGAGGACGCCATACATAACGTTGTCTTTCTGAGAAGGTATGCACTCTTCTAAATTTGGGAGAATCGCATTAGATGCATTTCACCATTACTGATAATTTATGCACTTGAAGAATTCAGCAATACTTTAGCTGCACCTTGAAACTAAAGGTGTTTTAGCAAAATTCGCTGTCGTGCCTGGTAAGGGGCCCCTGTAACACATAAAGGAGCCCTCAGTTTTTCCTTTCTCTTGCTTCAGACCAGACCCGATTGCTGCAACAGAAAGGCATAAGCGCTCGTACCTGCAAGGAGGGAGTGAGGCAGGGCTTGGCAACGGCCTGGAGGGAGAGAGTGCAAGTACTGCGGAAATCACCACTTCCCCATCGCCGCTGTCTCTGCCCTCGTCGGCACTCCCTCCGACGCCCTTGAGCTCACCTGCTGCTGCAGTTGGCTTACAAAACGGAGGCTCCTCTGTCAAGGAGATGCTGGACGTCTTCGACGCATGCGACTCGTCTAACGGCAATGCATCCTCATCGGAGCACCACTTTTGTGCCTGGGTGTCTAATCAGACACAGATGCTGCAAGAAGGGCTGCACCACTTCACGGATTACTCAATACGGGTGAGTGCGATCCAGTGAAAGTTCAACGGTTACGGTATAGAAGGGTATAGGCAGGCTAATTGGTCTCCCAATAAATTACTCTTCAAATTGGATTTAATTCTTAAGAATACTCAGCTTCTAAATTGGATTTCCGGTTATCTTTGTAATCGAAAACAGTACGTCTCTTTCAATGACCATTGTTCTCGTACAGTACCGGTTGACTCTGGTGTTCCCCAAGGCTCTGTGCTCGGACCCCTCCTCTTTTTATTGTTTATAAATGATATATCACATGATATACCTGTAAAAGTTAAGTTATATGCGGATGATTGCATCCTGTACTCGGAAATAGAAAACCATGCTGATCAAATTCATTTAAACAATCCATTTCAAAAGGTCATTCGTTGGTGCGATAAATGGCAGATGTCAGTTAATTTTAAAAAGACCGTTTTCATGAAAATTTCTCACAAACGTAACACTCTTCATTTTGCATATCCGACCAATAATGTTTTTTTGCAGGAGGTACAACACTACAAGTACCTTGGTCTTTGGATTTCGAATGACCTTAACTGGAAAACCCTTACACCAGAAAAAATATCAGCGAAATGGAAAAAATTCAAAAGAGAGCTGTTAGGTTTACTTATAACAGTTTTGGTCGTACTTCAATAACATGTTTATTAGCAAAAGCTAACCTCCCAACACCTACACAAAGAAATAAAGTATTGAGATTGAAATTTTTCTTTCATTTAGTTAAAGGTTATCTTAAGTTAGACTTATCACATATACTTCATTTGTCCACAGGATATACCACACGGCAGAGGCATGCCTTTACAATAACCCCATTTTCCACCCGTAATAACACATTCAAGTGTTCGTTCTTCCCTAAGACAATTACCGAATGAAATAACCTTAGTAACGAAGTTGTTTCCCAGTCATCCTTGAACCTTTTTGCTGCGCAGCTCTAGCGGCGAGTGTCTAATTTCTATGACATGTGCTTCTGTTGTTTATTTCAATCACTGTAAGCATTCTCCAGTTGTGATCATCTTGAATTTAGCGCTCATTTCTCTATATGTTCTTATGCCGGTTTATTACAAACCACTGTTCTTTTTTTTTTCGTTCTAAAAGTGTGTAAATGCCTTACCTGTTTTATATTTATTTGTTTGCCGATTTGTAAACTTATCAAATGTATATCCACCCTGCCACAACCCTATGTTAGGGTTGCAGTATTCATAAATAAATCAAATAAATAAATATTCATAGTGGAATATTGTGAGCATAAACTAATGGATCGCAAAGGAGGAGACAAACGAGCACAGACTGAAACTTGGTTTATTGAACGAAGATATTATGTACCAGAAAGATACATTCAAAGGTGTTATTTGAACGTCAGCATATAGCATGAGGGAATGTCCACTTGCATAGTCCTCTCCACTGCCTCATGTTAGTGAAAGATGGTATGAAGAAAGCACGATCAATGTCATCACTTTGTTGCTGATGTGGGGCATGCAGTGTTTAGTTAAGCACACGAAAAAAAGCTGCAGAACGAAAAGTAGAAATGACACTATCATAACCAAATGAAAGCAAACAGAGGAGCTTGCGATTGCAATTTCTGATATTTGCTGATCGATTCCAAAGGTGGGTGCACATGTCAATGTCACCCTCAGTAACACAACACCTCAATAATGCTCTCAATAACATGTTTCTAGAGAGGGGGAGAAATTAAGGCATTAAGCTTGTCCAAAAGTTGTTTCGAGGCAGAACAGCTGTATTGAACATCAGTCATTGTTCATAGATTTTGTCATGGGCTTCATCTTATCGTTCATAGGATTCATTTTATCGTTCATGAATTGATCTTATTGTTCATGGTTTATGGGTCGTGGATTCGTTTCCCCACCACTATAGTGGCATCTCGGTGGGTATGGAATGCAAAGAAGCGTGTGTGCTTAAGGGGAGACACTGGTCTGAGAAATTTTTTTTTAATTTTCAGGTATTTCCATCTGAAATTTTAATACAATATGTACTTTTCACAGCTGAAAACAAATATGCAATTAGTTTTTTGCTATCACTTTTAGATTTTTAAATATTGACTGTTACGTAAACTTGCATTCTGCCCAGCCTTTTGACATCTTCCTCATAAAATATTGCTACAAATTTGATATGACAGCATTCCATGAAGGCCAGGGAGTGCAACAAAACCATAATTTTATTTTTAGCTTCATTAGTACCAGAGTTATGGCCTTAACAAGTATACTCATTAGAAATCTAAAACTGTTGCTAAGTTTGTTGCTAATTAAATCACTACTGTAAATAAAAATATTACATTTTTTTGGTTTTCTTGCACTAATCAATGTATAAGCTTTCAAATGCTGCAAGAATTATCAAAATCCAACTGCTACATCAAAAGATACTGTGGGCAATGGCTTAGGGTGTGATGAAAAATGTTGTTTTGAGAAAACGAGAAAAGAAGTTTAGGAACATGCTGAGCACTTATATTTAACAAGAAAAGGTGTGAATCGTTGTATTAACTATGTTAGAAGCCACCAGGAATGTAGTCATCATCGTTCTCCTTGGTGCGCTTTCTTTGCATGGCATGCTTGAAGTTTTCAGCATGCTCATGCTTCTTCTCCGATGCCACTAGTCGGCGGCTGTCCTTTTCTGAGCATCTTTCAGCGGCCACAACACTCTGCTGCAGGTGCAGCTCCTTCAATATGGCGGCATCTGCTCTCCCTTTGCCAGCGTTGAACCTTGCGACAGCTTCGGCCACAGCAGCTTCAACGGTGAAAAGTGACGCGTGTTTGTTTTTGGACACGAGCCACCAGATGACGGAGTGCAGGCTCTCGTTTGGGTTCTGTGTTTTGCCTCGCTGACAACGCTCCAGCAATTTCTTGTCAGAGAGGCGCGTGTAAATAGGCCGCAAGGCATCAACCACATACTCCGGCAGGTTCTAGCGATGATTCAGAGGAGTCTCCTGCTTGGCAACAGCCTTGTTGTACTTGCACCATGACTCTTCACCGGTTGGGCAGTGAGAGGGCTGAGGGCTTGCATCAGAAGATGCTATGTGATAAAAGGTTGCCCAGACAGCATTATTCATGGCCTCAATGCTTCCTTGGTTGCTTTGTAAAGCCCATCCATAATATGACGTGAGCTTTGTGACCAGCTCGCCTGTCAGTTTGCCCTTGCCGCCAAGGCTTGGCTTTCCTTCGGCTCTTTGTTTTTGCAAGAGGCTTCGAAGTGCTGTGCCCATGCGCTTATGCACATGGTTGACACAGTCCTCTTTTTCTATTGGCACGAAGCCTGTACCTGTGCCTCCTGCAGACTGTTGAAGGCCCGGCTGTCTCCATCACACAACATGGTTGTGTAGCGGAGCCCATGTCTCTCCAATGAGCGGCCAAACAAAATTTGTGCTGCTTCCACCTCCATTTGTTCTGGCTTACTGGAGGTATTCTTTTGGCAAGTGTGACCAGCTAGCCACTCGGCATACCTTGGGTTGTCCTCCTTCGGCCCTAGCTGGCAGCCCAAACAAAAGTCCGATAGGACGACAAAGTCGAGCACATAACCCGTGATTAGTTCAATCACGGTCCCTACACAAATATGGGATGAGTGGCCTTTGGTCAGCCAAGTCCCATCAAAGGAAACGGCGATATTTCTAGGATTTCCATAGTTGAGTTCGGAATACACCGTTTTCACGGTGCTCGCGCAGTCATCAATAACGCGCGCGGCAGCCTTCTGCGCGGCAGGGTCGACTTTCAATTTCACATACCGTATTTACTCGCGTAATCCTTGCACTCGCATAATTCTCGTACCCCCCACATCGCACAGCAAAAATGTGATTTCTTTTTTTCCTCGAGTAATTATCGCACCCCCAAAAACTGCCGCAATAATGTTGTCAGCTCAATCCAACCTTTGATGATGATAGCGCGCGTCATCTGGCGCCATCTCTTAAGCATTAAGCGTACTATTACTGCACAAAGATTCAATCCAATCTAAGCCAAGCCAAGCTGGCAAGTGCACGTTGCAGCCTGTTTTGTATGTTGTGTCGGTAATCTTGTCACGTTATGGGGCGATACTGAGGCTACACGGCTGCTTTTAAGTTGAAAGTGATAGATCATGCACTAAACAACGGCAACAGGGCCACCGGTAGGCCCTTCGGAGGTTTGTGTTCGCGACTGGTGATGGCACCTGAGAGTCATCAAGGCGCGTTGGGCCTGCTGTGTGCCTGAAACTGGGATTGGTCGTAAACTTTATTTGTTCAGAAGGAAACTGCAGACGATTCTGTTAAATAGCCATCAGCCCAATACTAACGTCTTACGCTTACCTTTTGAGGGCTCCTGTAACGCGACGAATGCTACCGCTACGCCCGCAACACCCACAAGCTTTGCGTATGGTATTCTAATTCTCGACCATTTGATTGCATTTTTAGTGTCTCAATTAAATCTTGCCTTGTGTTGAACCAGTGCTTTTAATGTTGAGCTAAGTTTTAATTAGCACTTCTCAAAGCTTGCTGTTAGTTGCTGGTGTGAGAATCCCGATTTGCGGCCACTTCGTTGTCTTTTTGCTGTGTACGTTTTCCCCGCGTAATCCTCGCACCCCCTAAATTTTCATCGGTTTTCCGCTAAAAAAAGTGCGAGGATTATGCGAGTAAATACGGTAATCCTGGTATGTCTTGGTGTGCAGGCCTCTCCGTGAAATATTTAGGGCGGAAAAAACATCATTGAGCGCAGTTTGCCCGTTTCCTGTGCTCATTGCCGCGCGAACCGCGAGCACATTAATTTCGAAGGGACCGTGCGCTGCGTCCCCCCCTGCTCTCGGCGAGCTCCATATAGTCCTCAGTTTACCGCACTCGTCACATGTGAGAACAAGTTTCACGGCTACGCCATATTCGCGGTCTTCCTTGGAGATTCTGCCAGGCCCGCCACACACACCTCACTTCATACACTGAAGAAGTTCGTTGACCAACTCTAAGCTGACGACGGTGAACGGCGTACCAGGCGTTGCAGCTCCATCCGAGTCTCGAAAAAAAGACCGCTTGCGTTTTGTGGCAGACTTCGATGAAAGATCTTGCAGAACATCGCTCGCACGACACTCGATGGCCACTTTTTCAGTGTCGGAAACCAGGGAAGTGTCGACGCGCACAGCTCTCGTGTGATCTTGGCACACGGCTATCGCGTCCGCGATTGCGGGTGCTGCGGCAATGATAGCGCTGGAACAGCCTGCTTCTTCCCAGTTCTCGGCGGCCGAAGGTCTCGCTGGTAATAAGGTGCGGACTCTCTGACGCCGTTTTCGCTTTTTTTCGAACGCATGAGCACTCCGGAACTGCCGATGACCACCTGCCATTGCACCGAATGCACAGCCATTGTTAGGCCTCTACGCAAAATGGCGGCTTGCACGCACGTCGCTGTCTAGCAGACGAATCCCTTCGCGTCCAATAGGAAACCGGGAACTGCCCCACGTAACAAAAACGCACCAATGATGTGCGAGTATTCAGTTTTTCTTTATGCGCGATAGCTGCGTTGTTGCTAGACAAAAAACGTTCTTCTGCTAGGAACAGATAATAGAAAAATGCGTCTTTAAAATGAGACCAAAATGGCCGCGCTACTTGGTGCGGTTCTCGCGCGCTGCGGCGTTGAATACGACCGTTTTTGAGGTGGTTTCGGAAGCAAAAATGGTAATCAAACTGACTTTGCGACCCAATAACTCGACAAATACGCATTACAGGGCTATAATATTTTAGGAACAGCTTCCTTAGACCTTAATGATTATGAAAAAAAAATACTTCAAAAAATCGGTTTTCCGGAAAATTTTCAGCCTCCCATACCCGTGTCTCCCCTTAATTAAGGTGCACATCAAAAAAAAAAAAAAAAAACTCAAGCTGTATAACTTAATCCAGAGTTTCCAGTTTAGCTCTTCTTGTAGCTAATAATTATATTTTGTCTTGACATTTGTTACACAACCTTGCACTGTATAGTCTTTTTTACATGTTCTCAATTATATTACATTGGTGGCCACTGACCATAGCTTAAGGAGGTCATTCCCGGCTACTAGTGTTGTCTGGCATTTTTCAGTGCCATTTCTGTTTTTGTGCAGGTCCTTGCTTGTCACAAGAAGTTGCTGAACCGGCTCAAGCAGCCTCTCTACAATTGTGAGACTGATTCAAAGTTTGAGAACGAGCCAATGTGTTGCAGCGTTGAGTCCCTCACACGGATCCGCACACTTCCCCTCCGTAAGAGTCATCGTATTTTTTGCGTTTTGGAGAAAAGATCACTGAAACAGGATTGATAAACATTGATCATTAATCGCTTCTCAAAAATTGGCCACTGCATAAATGATCGTAACTCCACATTGCAGCCAACAACAGTACAGTGCCTCGTGGCAGAAGGGAAACATTGTCAGATGTGCGTTGTCTCTGTATAGGATATATAAATGAAAATTTATCATTGTTGTGCATGCATTTACGAATAGCACACCCTTTTTGACTGAGCTACCTGATAAATTGTTGTTGAAACGTGGTTTACCGTTCATCTGCACATTACCTCTAGCATTTCATAGCATAGCAGCTTATGGGGCGCCGTGTCTTTGTGAAAAAGTGGTATGTTGTCAATTGTGTCCATTTATTCGCTTGCACCTCTTGCTTCAAATGCAGTGATACCGCTGAAAGATTTTTATGTAGCACCTTATTGCCACGATAAGTTAGTGGATTTGGGTGGTATGAGTTTAGGGAAAAGTTGAACTTGAATATTGTTTTCTTTTTTGCGTGGTACAGCTGATGCAGACGATATCGACAGCTCTTCAGTGGTGGTCCAGCACGAAAATACTACCACTTCTGATGGAAGCGTCGGCGGCCTCTTTGTAAAGTGGGCACCACCGCCAGACCCCAATGGCTTTATTGTGTCTTACCAAGTCGAGTACAAAATGGTCAACCAAGAAAAGGTTCGGCACGTTTCATTTCTTTCAAAGGAACCTTCAAAGGAAATGAAGAGGAAAAAAAAATATATATTTCTCGGAAAACAGCTCTCAATAATCTGTTGATGTTATATCATTTTTTTCTGTGCATTAAAAGGACGCCTTGCACACGTGCGTCGTGAAGAGTGCAGTTGAATTTGACATTATCACTTCAGAAAAGCTGTTGCCCCTCTTTTCCTTTATTATTTTCTTTCCTCATTAAGTGGAAATTTCACCTCTCGCCACATTACTAAAAATCATAGAATGCCAACTAGTTGAAGAAAAAAAAAAAGCTTGATACAAGGTGGGGTGCAATTTTTGGGAGTTTAGAATAACTATAGTGACAAAGAAAAAAGGAAAAAAAAGAAACAATTCATTGAGCAGAGTTGATTTCTAGGAAATTAAGATTATGTAGCAAAATAGTCATTTGGTCTAGTTGGTAAAAGGTTGATTGTGAATGCAAGAAGTGGGACGCAGTACATTACAGGTCTTGGAGAAGAGGAAGGCAGCACAAGTGCACACTTGCTACTGGAAGTTTATTGAAGAGGCAACACATGTATGCCTTACAAAAACCAAAAAGTCGGTATAGTCAGTCGTTTTGACTATACGAGTTCGCACACCATGACGTGTTATGCGTCTACTGGCTCATTACTAAAGATTACTGCCTCGTTATGATGAAGGGTCCGCGTAGACGTTGCCCTGTATGAAACAGAGCCAGTCGAGTGCGGTACGACAGTGCAATGTACTCAGCTTCATCACTTCACAAGATGAATTCATTGTGGGCATCTGAATACCGACAATTCTTCAAGTACTATTGCAAGTGCGTAAGTAGGATGATGGCATTAGAATGCTAACGGAATTTCCATGTCAACAACATTGATGCTGATGCACATTGGGAATCTGTGTTGTTACTATCGAAGTACAAAAAAGAACAATAAAAAATAAAGACTAGATGCTATTTGCTCATGCTGCTGACAGTTTCTGTGGCTTCCCTGATGTCCTAATTAATGTTCGCGTCATCCTCATTTATATTTTTCAGACAAAAATGTAAGCCATCTAGTAAGTACGCAAACTGCTTTTTGAAGCAAAACAAGGAAGGCTTCCAGTGCTGGACTTCTGTGTAGCACTAGAGAATCTTGACACTCTCTTCTGCATTAACATGCAGCTTCACTTGAGCCAATCGTTACCTTAGGCTTGCTGTGCAGGTGAAAGCAGGGACAACAGTAGTCATGACATAGACCCCGTTTTCATCTGTGCTGTGAACCTGAAATTATGGCCCAACCTGTCCAGTCGACTACGCTGCTTTGGAGCTAATGGAACAAGATATGTTCGATATTACTTTCAGTAAATACTCGTATTTGAAATTAGAATATTTTCTCTGTGAAATATGGACATTGAGAATAGTTATCTTAGGGATTACTCAAGATCTGTTATTTGCAAGGCTGATGAACAAAGTGGATGTTTCTTTCCTCTTCTTTTCCAGTTCAAGCCGTTCCAGTTCTGCGTCTCCCACAGCGAATTCTTTAGACATGGGGGGCGTGTTATTCATGGTCTTGCACCGGGTAACTACTCCTTCCGTGTGATGGCTTCATCGCTGGCTGGACCAGGAAACTGGACCCGTCCAGTTTACTTTGTCATTGCTGAACGCACGGGTGAGCTATAGCTTTTCACCACAATTTCATTGGGCTACTTTACTGATGGGCTCTAAACTTGGTTATCACACTTGAAGATATGGGGATTGGTGAACGGATTGAAGATATGGTGAGCGTTACGACATAATGGCAAGAAATGGAAACTGCATGATTATTGTGGATTTATAAATTTAAAGGAAAGTGAAGTAATGTAATATGACCAGTATCAAAATTCTGAGAAGGTAAAAATAGATGTGGATAGATGTGATGGTGAATTGGAAAAGAAAGAAAAAGAAAAGTGCAGTAGACCCTTGTGAAGTGGAGCCTGAAGGGATCAGGGAAACATGTTTCATTTAACGGGAGTCTTTGTCAAAAGATGAACAGGTGTGCTGAATACAAGTACTAAGCCCAATCATGTCAGAAACAATTGTTCCATTTAAGCGGTCATTCCATTTAACTGATTTTCATTTACAGTAAAAGCTCGTTAATTCGACATCCATTTATTCTAATAATTATGACGGCTCTATTGGTCCCGGCCAAAGTGCATGTTAATCGATGGGACCGAACCTTCGTTATTTCGTCGGAATTCGGCTCCGCACCGCTTAACTCGGACAAATGCTGACGGCTGCTGCTACACAAAAGTGTGATAAAACAGTGCTGGCACCACTGAAATGAAACCGAAACCTGAGTGGCATCGCCATCATCATCAACTAGTGGGGGCGATCGCAGCGTCACCGAACGTCGGCGTCTTCTTTCTTCTCCACTCAGCACCTCCGACGACATTTTCCCTTGTGTTGTCGTGTCGGAACTATCTCTTCTTGCGGAGTTCTCTTTTTCTTCCATTGTGACCGTATTTGCATGCCACCACCATCGTGCGCTACAGTGATGGCAACGCCGAAAAAGCGGCAGAACTACGACGCGAAGAACTTGGCGACTAAAGTGGAAATTTTGGAAGCACTGAAGAACGGCGAATCGCGACAGCAAGTTATGACCAAGTACAACGTGAAGCGGAGCACGTTGGAAACGTACGTGAAAAATGAACAACAGATTCGACAAGCCTTCAAAAGTGAGAAGTTTCACGTCTCTAGAAAGCGGTTGCGAACCGCAGCTCATCCCCAGCTCGAAGAAGCTTTGCTCCGGTGGATTACTGACTGTCGCAACGCGCATCTGCCTTTGAGCGGAATTCTCATCATGGCGCAAGGTGAGAAGTACGCTGCAATGATGAACATTGAATCGTTAAAAGCGTCAGAAGGGTGGTTTGCGAGGTTTCGAGAGAGACACGAACTTGTCTTCAGGAGTGTGTGCAGCGAAAAGGCCAGTGTTGACGAAAGCGTGACCACCGAGTGGAGAAATGTGAAGCTGCTGGAGCATATCGCCGCATATGAACCACGTGACGTGTTCAATGCAGATGAAACTGCTCTATCTTTCAGAGCTCTGCCCGACAAGACAGTGACTTTCAAAGGGGACGCGTGCATTGGTGGCAAGAAGTGCAAGCAAAGGATAACTGTGCTTCTTGCCGCCAATATGACTGGCACGGAGCGCTTGCCACTACTTGTCGTCGGGAAGGCGCTTAAGCAACATTGTTTTAAGAATTTCAAAAGCCTTCCTGTCGAGTACACAGCGAACAGGAAGGCATGGATGACATCGGACATTTTTCGCGGCTGGCTGCAGCAGTTGGACCGACACTTCACGTCGAAGAACCGCAAGATAATTATGGTTGTTGACAACTGCAGTGCCCATAACTGTACAGTAGAACTGAAGAGCATCAAAGTAGTTTTTTTGCTGCCCAACACTACGTCTGCTCTTCAGCCGATGGACCAGGGTATGATTCACTATGTGAAGTCGAAGTACCACAAGCACCTGCTAGAGCGAATGATCTTATGCTCAGAAGCTGGAAAGTTGTATCAAGTGGACTTACTCGGCGCAGTGCACATCATCGCCCACGTGTGGAAAAACACTCCACCACAAGTCATCGCCTACTGTTTTCGGCACAGCGGTTTTGTGAGGCCCGAGCATGCAGCAGTAGCTGACGATGGCATCGAGGAGGTGTCAGCCGAGTCCACCGACGATGACTGCCCAACTTTCGATGCTGTCCTTCCCACAGATGTGACCTTTCAGGACTACATCGCGATTGATCATAGTGTCGCCACGAGTGGTCTCCTGACCGATCAAGAGATTATTAATGATGTCACGGGCGACCATGAAGACCACGATTCCGACGAAGAATCATGCGAGGAGATACAGCCGCGACCTCATCGCACCTCACGGGAAGTCTCGGAGGTGCTGTTAATATTAGAGGATGCTTGCCTGAACACTCCCGACAGCTTGCGTGCTGTTGGCCATTTGGAACAGTTAAGAAAAATTGTGATGTCAGCCGGAACCGCAGACGACAATTACAAAATATCGACAATTACAAAATATTACAAATTGTCGTCTGCGAAAATGCAGACAATTACAAAATACTTCAACAAATAAAGGTATGCTTCTGCAGCTTGATTTTAAATGTTGTTTTCCCTGTTCATTAGTTAATTCGGCATTCGGTTAATTTGGACAGTTTTTCCGGTCCTGTGAAATACGAATTAACGAGCTTTTACTGTAGTGAGAGTCAACTGTACTTGCAAAATGACTGTCTGGTATAAGATTATCTTATTAGTGGTAGTGAAAGGGAAATTCTAAACAGTGACATGCCTTGGTGTCACTAGCCAGAAAGTGTCACTAATGTCACTTAGTGTCACTAGCCAGAAAGGTTATGTGTATGAGTAGGTGACGTAACAATGATCAGATATCTGAAGTGTACATGTAGGCCGGCTTCTGCTGTGATGATAGTGCTAGTGTCTGCTGATAGAATGCTGCCATTACACGTTTGGTGGGCCTGTCCATAAAGACTGCTTTAGGTTGTATTGGGATCAGCTGCTCACAGGTGGAACTAGTGTCTTTGAAAATTTTTACTTGAGGTCGGAAAGAGGGGGCCTTTATTCATATTGTGAACAGCCAGAACACAGAACGTAATGCAAGCATGACCCACTCTCTCTCAGCAAGCACTCTTCTGTGCACTGCTATACATTATTCTGCTTTGTGCAAGGGGCTGAGAAGAAATTAACTCTTTCTATCTTGACCAGGATGCGTACAGGTCCTTGAAAACCCTTGAATTTGAAAAATGCCTCTTCAAGGGTTTTTAAGGCCCTTGAAAGCCCTGGAATATTTTTCTGTCCTCGAATATCCTTGGAATTTTCTGAGCACTTTCAATCGACGTTGCAGCCTCCTTAATGAAGTAGATTGGCATCAACCTAACGAATTTTCCATATCGGAAACAGTAATTTGGCGTGAGTGAATATGGTTTCATTTTCCGAAACTCCATGGGGAATAAAGTTTCACTGCTTCATACCACGAACAAACGAAGAGAGAAAATCGTAACACTTTTGGGTGCTGACTCCTTCCCTATTGCAAAAGCGGTGAAGCAAGTGATGCTAAAGTGAGCTTAGCTGCAGACTAGACACGTTTTTTATAACTGTGATATGCTCGTATATAAGTGCAATAAAAAATTAGTCATTTATGGAAGTTCTAGAGTAACAAAATTTCAACATTGCGCAGGCCCTTTTAGTCCTTGAAAAACCTGTGACCGATCCTGGAAAGTCCTTGAATATCCTTAAGCTTTTGCTTTGCAGACCTGTACCAGCCCTGTTCTCATTGCTTCTTATGTTGCACTGTACATTATCGTCACGGGGTTGTGATGCTGACGAAGGCAGAGATGACTCGTCCAAAATGAAACTGTTTGTTTGGCCGAACTTGTGGCCTGCAAACTGAAAGTCGGGTTATAGCGATACACACTGGCATTGATAGCGGCGAACAGAGTGTTGGCCGTCAATCAAGTGACAAGTGGTGACGTGCACCGGCTTTTATACATGTGCCGTTGAATATTCTAGCTTTATCTCCAGCGGCCACGTAAGTTCCAGAAGAATCTGTAACCTTTGCGTTGTGCGCGCAATCTTGACAGAACGGTCTGCAACAATGGAGAATCTTCAGAACACTGAGTCGGGGTTTCTGCTGACAGTCGCTGAGAGTCATTGTGGACATGAACCGAATACAGAAAGAGCGAAAATGAGAAGCGCTCGTGGCATTGTAATGTAGTAAAAGCTTGATGTGGCCAAGAATGAGCCGTATCTGTGGTTTAACCAGTGTGCAAGTCATTTGCTTGTCTTTCTTGTTTCTACAAGCGTCCTTTTCCTTGTACATTTGCTGCTCAAACTTGAATCTGAACATTGTCCTGTTCTTTCTGCTTTTCCCGTTTTGTTTCTTCTCCCTCTCTCGTGTGCTTCCTGGTAGAAGTGATCTCCCAAGGAGCCATAATTGCCATCTGCCTGGTGGTCGTGGCCATCGTGGCCGCAGCTGCTGCAGCCATGTGCTTCATCTACCAGAAGAAGAAGTGAGTGTCTCTTTGCACTACTGATCCCCTCTTGGCAGAGTTCTTGTTCGCCGCCTCTACCTTGTCAAGTTCAGCTTTGTTCTCCAGAAGTGGTGACATTTTCGGCTGTCAAAATGCCACTATAGCATCGATGCATCTTGCATACCATTCAACCTGCATGTATGTATCGAGCCAACATATAACTGTGCAAATGGTAAATTTCAGGTTGAAGCGAATTCAATGTGAATAGCGATTTGATCGAATAATTTTTAAATGAATATGGATAGTGTATATCACTAATATAAATAAAAATGAGGGTAGTGACGACCCAGCTAACTTGCACAGCATTTCTTTTTTTAAAGTGAAACGAGGCATGTGCGAATTTCATTCTTCTAAGTTCAAAGGAAGTGGAAGCAACTTTGAATAGTAGCAAGATTTTACTTTTGCTGGAATGCAAGAGATAACTTGTAAAACATGTCAAATTTAATATTTACTCTACACTGATTATATACAGACGAGCCCACATATAACGGCCCCACTTAAAAGGAACTTTTGCTTAAAACGAACAATATCCGCGTGACCGTCAAAATATACATTGGTTCAATGGCACAAAATCGCACTTACAACGAACGTCTCCGAGCGCCGCTGATCGGTTACAGTGAATGGAGTCAGCGGTCTGCCGACTTCCCGGGAAACCAATTTCGACACCACCGATCAGGCATCGGCGAAGTGCCCATACATTCCTATTGTTAAACGCCGACCCTGCCTCCACGACCCTTTAGTTGCCGCTCTCCCCAACCCATGGAGGAAGGAAAGCTGTTTTCTTCCTCCATGCCCCGACTGCTTTTTGTTAGGCACCCCTCTGTTCTTTGTCCTCCCCGCTTCTCTGAGCACCCCGCATCGCCAGACGAGGCCCGTGTTTTCACATTGCCACCGATCTTTCGAAGACCGGTCGGCCATCTACCCTGTTTTTTATCGCTGGTACTGTCGTTGGCGTCGCCGGCCTGGAGTGACCAGACCATTACCAACATCGTCGGCCACCGACTATATCCGATATTCGGCACCTAGTGCACGCGCGTACGCTACCCCACCAACTCTGACAATTTGTGATTTGTTTCGTGCTTAGGACTTGTTCTAGCTCACTTCGCCTTCGACTCAGCATGCCTTCCGCGTGCGTGCGGAAGCGCGAAATTAGCTGTTAGTTTGCGCAGAACGAATCACGAAATATCGAAGTTCGTGAGGCCACGCCAACCCGTCGGCGCAACAAAACGATTTTTCACCACGGCCACCGATTCTTCGAACACCGGTGCGCGCAAGCACTCTTTCTAAGTTTTTTTTACGTGCCTCGGCAAACGAGCACCCTACCGTTTTAAATGAACTCGTGACCGCCCTTATTGCTTCTGCTCTTCGAAACACGTGCATCACGGACTTTTTAGGGCAAAAAAAGTTTGCGTTTTCACTCGCAACTTTTTTAAAAGCTGTGTTTAATTTACTACAAACTTCGGGATACAGCGAACGGATGCTGCGTCACGCTCAGGTTCGTTATAAGTACCCAGTACAACAGGCAGACTGTACCCAGTACAACAGGCATTTAAACTGAAAAGATTACGAATCAATGTGAGGATGATATGGTCATGTAACATTGAAGTGGGGCTTTGCGGCAGTATGGATTTTTTTCTGGGTAGTTGTATTCACCACATAATACCCCGCCACTGCAATGAAACCACCTTTACAGAGGGTTACATGTTGAGTAATATACCCTTATTCGTTCACTATGAAACAATTCGAAATTTCCAATAATATAAGTTCAAACTGAAAAATATTTGTGTGCTGTAATAATGCATTTGCTCAAATATTCAAGGTCCTCCAATATTCTCACAAGCGTAAAATTGTGCATATTAAGCATTGTATAATCTCTTGACTATATTTGATATATAAAATATTTTATAAATTGAATTACTTGTATATAGAATGTTCTGTGAGCTCCTTCAGAATCAATATATCTGGTTTCGAGTGTTTAACATTTGCAGGGGCCATCTGCACAAAGTATTCACTATGCGAGGGAGTTTGTGGTAGGTTACAGGAGAATAAAGCAAGCTGCAGTTTGCTTGACTTGAAACATTTTGAGAACCTATCATTTTTGCGTTACGGTGGAATTCCAACCAAGTTTTCTACAGTTAGAAACAGACTTAGCCGAGCTTTACTATCAATTTGTTGCACTCGTGTTCTGAGCATTTCACGCTCCAGTAGATTTGGACCTCATTTCCTTGATAACAGTGTTTCGCAGAAGCCCAAGTGCTTGACGTGTAGAACAAGTGCATGTCCTTTTCACTTCTTCACGATGTATTAATCTTTCTGAGGGCTATACGAACTGAAAGATTAAATGTAACAAGGTCCAACACTTTTTTCTGGGAGAATGGAATTGGTTACAGTTGAACGCCGCTTTAACGAAATTTTCGCTACAACGAAAAATTCATGATTCCCCGTCAGCAGTTCATAGGAATCAATGCATAATAATCGTCGCCACAACGAACACTTTTTCTTAGGTCGTCCCGCTTCAACACAATTTCAGGCTCATATACTTATTGCTATGCAGTAAACCCAATCTTTAACATTTTGATGCATTTTCAGAGCCTGAAAATGCATCAAGGATGTCTAAAACACGCGCTAGCACCATCAGAAATGCCGCTGTTCAGCCAGCATGGGCGCCGTCATTGCTCAATGTGATGACAATGAGACTGTCCTGCTTTTCTTTTGCCACTGGCTTGCTTTTGAGCCGTAGACGATCCGAAGCTGAAGCTCAGTCGCTCAGTTCATGGTTTCCTTCTCCAAGCTGCTGGGTGCAACCACGGCACGATGCCTTTTCCGATTCAGATGCTAATCATGTTCGTGCTTGGCCAGTGTAGTATAACTAACCAGAGCTGCTGTTCGTCCGCATTATCAACAAAATCAGCTAGCCGCGAGTGATGGATGATAAGAATAGCATAAAATAATGCAAAAGTCGACGCTACACGATACCCTGCGTCCATCTTGGTGTTGTCGGATACTTTTGACGGTGTACAGCTGGTGTTAGCGTGTTAATGTAACTGTTTGGTTCATTCACGAAAGCAGTTTTAGGTGTTGTTTCAGCGTGCTTTTCACCATGGCCTCGCTATGCATGGGTGAGAATCACGTCGTGACGCTGCTGGGAAAGAATAGGAAGCAGCGGACATTTTTTGAATTTAGAGAATAAATGTTCCTTTGTTTTGCTAGCTCAGATCAGTGATATTTTTTCCGATTTCACTACAACGAAATTTTTTTCGCGCCCTGTCAGTTTCGTTCTAGCGGGGTTCGACTGTATTGCATTACCATACGCTTCAGAATCGAGAGCAGTACATATGTGCACTGGTGATTGCATAAGTACTTCTGCTTGTTGTATTTGTAGTTCTGACAAACTATTTGATGTTGTTGTTTGGTTGTGCATCTTTTGTTATGTTTTATTATTAACACCGTAAAATAACTAAAAAAAAAAAACAATCTTGCAGACGAAACCCGGAGGTTCCCAATGGGCTTCTTTACTCTTCAACTAATCCAGAATATGTCAGTTCAGGTGAGTACTAAAACAAATTTTCAAAATACTTGGCAATGCTTCCAGTGTTGCCCAAGTGCTGCTAAAGGCACTTCATAACTTTTTTATTAATATTTTTTCGCAAACAGCTGCAGTTCATGTTGCTTGAACTTAAACAAAAAATTTTACATTCAGATTGATGCGAGTCACAGAACACACAAAAAGCAAGCCATTTGTGGAAACAAGTGAGCAGTGTGCAAGCATCAGTACTGCACAGCCCCAGCACATATCAAGACATTTAATTGAATTAGTAGGAAAGAAAATTGAATTTTTAGGAAAGAAAAGCAGCTGAGTTTTGTTAATAGAATGTTTAATGAGGCTTTTGCAAATAGTGAATTTTAAGCAAAAAAATAGTGAATGAAGCAAATTCGAAGCGAATAGTGATTGTGGTCGAATAATTTCGTATCGAATTTAAATAATATATATCACATGTTGTGAAAGAAAATGTGCATATTTGTAATGACCTAACTAACCTGTACATTATGCATATTCCTAAAATTTAAACAAGGCCTGTGCAAATGCCTTTTTTTTTTTTTGTTTAAAGGAAGTGGAAACAACTTTGAGTGGTATAAGAATTTGACTTATGATAGAATGCAACTGTTAAGTTGTAAAATATGTTACTTTTGAATATTTAATATAATAAGAGCATATAAGCTGGTATAACAAGCTTTTGAAGTAAAAAATAATGAATTCACATGAGGGCGACATGTTCATCTAACCTCGAAGTGGGGTTTCGGGGCAGTGCGAATTTTCAATACTCAGGTGTTTTTTGTGGCTTAGCACTCCTTTACTGAAGTGAAACCACCTTTACAGGAGTTACACGTGGACTAATATACAATTGGTTCATTTCGAATGCTTCAAACTTTTCAATGATTCAAATTCAAATCGAAGCAAATTCAAATATTGTACTATTCGCTCGGATATTTGAAGCATTCAAATATTCGCACAAGCCTACCTTTAACACATTGGTATGTCACTGTTACTGTTTACTGTTTCACTAATGACATTTCTTGTAGCTGTTCATTGAAGAATGAGGGTTTCATATTAATCTATTATTTGCCAGTGTTCTTGCTTGTGTTACCTTGATGTGTAGCTTAAGATAAGATAAAATGCATAAAAAGGTGCCAGATATCAAAACCTTGAAAATAACAGGCAAAAAAAATCTACTGTTACAAAAAATGCAAAACTTGAAAATACAAAATTATTCAATACACAAAGTGTACAAACAAGCAGTATCGCTTGGAATCTAGACAACTGCGTTACGAACATGCTCATTAGTATTTTTTCTGCTGTTAAATAACTAAATATGCTTTATGAAATGGTGCATAAAAGTATGACCACATTGTGTCTGTTGACACAGTCACTGTGGAGCCTTAGACCAATCTTCTTTATTGCAGTGTATGAACCCGATGAATGGGAAGTGCCCCGCGAGTCCATTCAAGTGGTAAAGGCATTGGGCCAGGGCTCTTTTGGCATGGTCTACGAGGGGCTCATCTACAATTTGAAGCCGGAAAAACCAGAGACGAGGTGTGCCATAAAGGTGAGCGTCCCATCTTATTTTAGTGCCTCCACGTGTCTTGCTGTTCGAGTACATGAGGTCGAAGCCGATTTTTTTTTACAATTTTTTCCTATCTTGGCATTTGAATAATTTAACAATGTTAGTAGTGTGTGCTCACAGTGTACAACCCTGTCACAGATCTGTCAAGTATCTGTCAAGGGTGAGAAAAAAAAAAGAGATAAATTATTGGCAAGGTGGGATTCGAACCTGTGAAACCATGATCTCAAGGCTAGCGGCATAACAACTCAGCTATCCACTCAGCTATCCACTCAGCTATTCTAACAAAGCCTAGTGTAGTGTTGTATAGTGGAGTATATCAAAGGGAAGTGAGGAAGAGGAGAGATTTTAGGGGAAGAGGAAAAGGAGAAAGGTAGAACGAGTACAGAGAGAGATAGAACGATGGAGAGAGAAAAACAAAAATAGAAAGAGATAAAAAAGATGGAAATAAAAAGAGCAAACATAGCCATGTATAGTATAGTGTAGTAAGGGATGTAAAGAAAGATGCGAGAGGTAAAAGCATGATAGCCAGGCGAAGGCCAACTAGGTGCCCACCGGCTCTGCGGCGACCCAAACTGTGCTAATTTTATTACTTAACGGATGTTACCATTCTGTGGTTTTAAAGACTGCAACGCCAATCTACTCATGGGGGTTCGTTTGAGAACAAGCTCCATGGAAATTTTCTGCTTCCCTGGTATGTTTAAGCTTCGCACAAACCAACACCCCTGAAGCTGACTCAGCGAATTGGCAAAACGTTCACCTGCTACATAGAGGACAGCGTCGACCTTTGGCAGTGTGTCATCCCGACATTGAAGGTGGCATAAAACATGTGGCACAGTGACTGTAGTCTCTGATGATGCCTTTCATATGTTAAAAAACCTTGGCACTATTTTTCATGGGATGACAGCTCTGCCAGGGTTTCGACAAGCCCCACAGTCAGTCGTTCGTTTGATGAGCTCCACCGAAGCTCCAATGAGCATCTCTAGTAGCACCCACTTGTGTCCCGATAAAGCCTTGAGCATTGCCACCGCACCTGTACTTGAAGCATTTCTTTGCCACATAGAGGAGTTCATTTATGCTGAAGTTGCTCATCATTCCATTGGCTGCTATCTACAGCTGGAAAACTGCTCGCACCTTTGCCTGCAAACCTTCGCCAAGTCATTGAGGTGGAAGTTTCTGTAGCTTTGCATTTTCTCCGCAAAACTGCATTGATGCCGACATTCATCACCTACCCAAAGCTAAATGCACCAACGGGCTTCGTTCAGTTGTCGCACGGCCACCCCCTCAGAATTTCCAGCTGTTTACGCAAGGCATGCCACCGTGTCTAACTTATGGCTTGTTCAGTCGACATACGCACAGTGCAGTTGTTGATGGTGCTCTGCAGCAATTGACCAATGTGTATCATCTACCTGGCCATGTAGAACCATTATGCAATCACTGCATATTGTCCTGCTGTCTTGCTGCTTCAAACCTATGTTCACTGTACCCATTGTATGTTACACTATGCCTGTCGTCCTTCACACTTGGAAACTCCAGCCAGACATCTTCATGCTCAGATTGCTGCCCTCTGGTTGATTGGTGCTTGCCATCGCCTCAAAACTGTTCACTTTTGCCAGTACATCGTTGCACACAGTGACAATCTACATACACCAAGATCTCCACCTGAATAATGCTACTTTGTTACAACTCAGCTACGTGGTATTCGGAGGTGCTGTTCACCCGGATGACAGAAAACACAGCGTGGTTGTAGATTGTGCCGAAGTTACCTTTCTGAAAGACTACATACGTCACGCCTTCCTTGGCCTCTGTTGTTAATTTTGCTGCTTAATTTGCAGTTTTTTGTCCATCACCACTCTCTTAAATCCAATCATTACGAAACAGCAAAAAAAAAAAAAAGCAAGCCTTGTCAACCATTTGTGACACTACCTTCAAGAAGTTGCTTCGTCTCCTAAACTTGCCGCTGATACTGCGTCACTTTGACCCGACTTTTCTGATCGAAGTATGTAGACACCAACACCAGCAGTGCTCGACTCGACGCTGTGCTGACATAATGAACATTCTGGATACTATGAACACGTATACGCAAGTGGTACCTTCACTAACACCAAGTTTGAATTGTACTGACCTGGAAAACGATTGTGTGGCCATAATCTGGCAGTCGGTAAATTCAGACCTTACCTTGATGGCCTTCTCTGCGACCTAGTAATGAGTGTCATACAATTTGTTGGCTGGCCACATTGAAGAACCCCTGTGGCCGATTAGCTTGCTGGAAATTGGGGTTGCAGAATATCAATATGCTCTTTGTCTACTCATCTAGCCACACCACAGTGACGCCGACACACTTTTAGATTCGTTTGCGTCAACCAAAAATGCTGCCTGCCTATCTGTCTTTGACCAAGTACTTTCATCCCCAGCAGGCTGTGACATGGCTTCTAAGCAAAGCAAGAACACCTGGATTAGCACTTTTCTCCCCCACATCCCTTAGGGGAGCAATTGCAGTGAAGAGGGAATGCCCAGTGCTACAGCCACGCTGCCAGCTCTTCTCGTGGCCCGAGCTCGAGATTCGCTTGCCTATTTTGGTTTGAGATCTTGCCGGCTTCTTTTGGGCCCTGTCGGTTCCTCATTTAGTAATACAACTCATATTTCAAATGTGCTAACAGTTACAATGATTTCTTACTTCTTTGAATAAGCACTAAATATGTGTGTTTACTTTTCTGTTATGGGTATATATACTAGAACAAACATGACCCTATATTAAATCTACTTATTTTGTCAATTCTTGTTTGTCTACAGACGTTTATGTATTATGAGTATGTAATATAACTGTACCTTTGTTTCAGTTAATGTTTTAATATTTGCTTATGTTTTCCTTTTTATTTTCTTAGCATTAACATTTAAGAGAAACATTAAAGGGGCCATGACACTAAATTTGTGTTCATAATCTGAGGCACGTGAGTTAATCCATGGGTGTTCACAAACAGGCTGGTGAAATTTCAGCACATTTGGTCGGAAACTTAATTTATAGTGAGCATCTTTATAAACACGTGAGTGACTTGAGAGTCTGACAACAGCGGTGCACTCTTGAGCTGTGACGTAACAAGCCGATTGTTTTGCAAGCATGTGAGTTTCGACCAATAATATCATCTCTTGATCAGAATAGAGCTATTAGAGCTTTCTTCAGTTTGGCACTGAAAATTGTGACACTGTGAATAAACAGTTTGCTTTGGCTTAAATTTAAAAAGAAGACAGTGGCTCTGCTCCATAAAAGACATGACGTCACACATGTCATAGCAAAACGGCGGTTTCCGGCGGTGGGTGGGGTTTACGGCAGTGACTTCTAGAGCTCATATTGCCATGAAATATTTTTTTACAATTGTATTTTTGTACATGCGTGTGCACAACAGAACAATTACAGTCGCCGACCGTTTATTCGGACTCAACGGGAACCGCCAAAAAATCTGAATAATCGGGAGTCCGAAAAAACAGATTCACTAAAAAAAAAAAAAAGCACTTTTATAGGCCCTATCGCCCGAAAAAACTGTCATGTCTGCACACACGCACGCTTTCAAGACGGTTTGCTTGGTAATTAGAAAATTCTCAAGCCACTTCAGACTGAGGTCGGCCCGCCTTCTACCTGGCGAACTATCTCCGCTTTCTTGTCATCGTGAGCGTCCTTTGTAGCTCCTACGTTGGCCGCGCTTATTCACTCCCGAGGGCGCGGCAACGAGTGGCGTCGGAGCCATTTCAGCACGCCACGGAACACGAAGAGAGCGAGAACACAGAGCACAAGACGAACCAGGCCAGCGCCAGAAGCCCAGGAACACGGCTGACACACGCATACGCCACAGCGAACGGACCTCTGAGGTGGCTTCGCTTGGCCGCTCGACTGCTAAAAAAATAAAAAGCGTCGCCACACATAGCCTTCGAGATCGGCACTGGCGATTTCTCTGCGTGCATTTTGACACTGGCCGTACATCCATCCATAGCTAGTGCAGCATATCAGTGCTGGCAACCTGGAAACGTATTGTTTAACGTCGCTGTCAGTGTTTAATGATGTACGGAGACACATCCGTCAGTTCAAACGCAGTCCGAATAGTCGAATGGCGCACAGTGGGCGTCCGAATTTCGGTCGTGAGTTTACATAGGATCAATGGGGAGAGTGGGGGTGCCATGAAGATGTCCGAATAAACGGGCATGTCCGAATTTTCGGCGTCCAAAATAAACGGTCGGCGGCCTGTAATTCTGTGTTTCGCTGGAAAACCGCCATATATGGAGGTTGGGATGCGACTAGCGACATCGGCCTTTTTATTAAGTAGTTACTTGCTAACCACCACTGCTGGTACTAGGCGCAACACAGTCAAACTCCACTACAACAAACGCCGTTTCAACTAAATTTCCGCTACAACGAAAAATTCACGATTCCCGTCTGTAGTCCATAGGAGTCAATGCATAAATATTTTCACCACAACGACACTTTTTTTTTTTTTTTGAGTCCCCGCTTTAACAAACTTACGATGCAATTCTAGGCTCAGATACTTATTGCTATGCAGTAAACTCAATATTTAACATTTCGATGCATTTTAGTCTACTTCAAGTTTATTAGTCTACTTCAGAGGGATGAAGCGAGAAGAATGTGTAGCACCAATACGGGCCTACCATGCTTCACAGGCTTGTAGATGATGCTGAACTCTCCGAGGTAGTGGCCAATCATTTCAGGCTTGATTTCGACCTGGTTGAAAGCCTTGCCGTTCTAGACGCCGACGATGGAGCCGACCATCTCGGGCACGACAAGAGCCTGACGCATTTTCAGAGCCTGAAAATGCGTCAACGAAGTCTAAAACACACGTTGGCACCACCAGAAACCGCCGCTGTTCAGCAAGCGTGGGCGCCGCCATTGCTCGATAGCGATGGCAATGAGACTGCCCTGGCCCTGCTTTTGCCACTGGCTTGCTTTTGAGCCGCAGACGATCCGCAGCTGAAGCTCAGTCACTCGGTTAATGGTTTCTTTCACGCAGCTGCTGGGTGCAACCGCGGAATGATGCTTTTTTCCGATTCCGATGCTTATCATTATGTTCGCGCTTGGCCAGTGTGGTAATTAATCAGAATGGTTGTTCGTCTGCCATTACCAACAAAATCAGCTAGCCGCAAGTGATGGATGATAGAATGGCATAGAATAATGCGAAAGTCGCCGCTGCACGATACCCTGCGTTCATCTCGGCGTTGTCGGATACTTTTGACAGCGGACAGGTGCTGGTTTTAATGTGTTAATGCAACTTTGGTTCGTTAATGAAGGCGGTTTTAGGGGTTGTTTCAGTGTGCTTTTCACCATGGCCTCACTATGCATGGGTCAGAATGACGTTGTGATGCTGCTGGGAAAGAACAGGAAGCAGCAAACATTTTTTTAATTTTGGGAATACTGTTCCTTTGTTTTGCTAGTTTAGATCAGCTATATTTGTTCGATTTCGCTACAACGAAATTTTCTCTTCAGCGAAATTTTTTCCGTGCCCCGTCAGTTTCGTTGTAGCGGGGTTCAGCTGTATTATGAATATGTAATCTAAAAAGTATATTTTCTTTTTTAATGTTGGAATGTTTGCACTGTTCTGGTTTTCATTATCTCCTTGTCTTTTATTAACTTTTTTTAGAAACAGTTAGATAACGAAGTTTTTAGCTCTTTATAACTTCATGTTTATAAACACCTCAGTATATTCTTTAACCTCAGTGTAATGCTGTGATTTCACTGCAACAAAACTTCGCTTCTACTGCAATGAAATATTGATGATATAAGTTGAAATGCAGGTCTAAATGTAAAATTTTCATTGCACAGTAGGTATTTATTTCACTTGTTAGTATTCCAGTCATGCTTCATATATTGTGAGCACTTTTTGTTTCCAATTATTTGCTAAATTAACATCATGTAAAATTAGGTGCATCATTGCTGTGTTTCAAAATTTGTCAATTATATTCACGCGATGTTTCCTGAAAGCTTTGTAACTAATGATGAATGAATGAATGTACTGTTCT